TTTTTTCGATACATAATGAATGAACTATTTTCTCTGCCGCTATCTTGTTATATTTCTCTTATTCAGAGCATGTCATTGTGGCAGCTGTGCTGCAGACTGAAGGCTTTGAATACTTGGAGCAGTCATGCCCATCGCTGCTGTATGATATTCTGGCCACCGTAGCAGCAGACGAGGATTCGACTCATGCTAGCAGGAGAAGGAGCAGTAGCAGCTACTTAGGCCTCACTCTGATGGATGGTGTAGATTCAAGCGGGAGGCGAACAAGGCGGCGTTTTTAGTAAGCAAACAAATTGTAACACTTTGTAACCCTAAACCAGGTAGGTCTGTCTGTAGAGTTCATAGTTTTCTGTTGCCGCCTCCTTCATAAACACAATCAAATCCTTCTGTTCTTCCAGTGGAAATAAATCTTTTCCTATTGCAACTCTTTTTTTGTGCGTAGTAATTGTGCGCTTTAATCTCTATATTGTTCATTTATTCAGAGGGGCGTAGCTGATGGCAGTTAACCAACTTGCATTTCGATGGTCTTCGTTGCTCTTCTCCCAATGATGACGAATCTTGTAATGAACTTCGTGTATTCATTTGAAGGACTGTTTGTGTTTAGTGGTGTTGGGGTATTTCAGAATGTTTTAGATATTTGGTAAACCCTGTCTCGCCTGGCAAGTAGGCTTAACCATGGTCATCATAATCCTATCAGAGCTAAGTTGATTGCTCTATTAATGAAATTTTCTTTTAAACTTATATCAGAGCTAAGTTCTGCCAAAATTTATATTAAAATGAGCTTTCAATAGTATCAATCAGAGATTTCTTGTGCTAATACGGGGAACTAAAAGCATCCCTTAACAGTTTATCAAAGCTTGCATCTTTGATTTATAGTTCCCTGTGATCAATAATAATGGAGACAAGTTTTTTTTTTTAATCGTTATATACTCAAATTATTGGTTGAGATCTCCCATTGAAATTTAATATTTGATTTATCTTTTTTGTGAGCTCCTGTGATCTTTTGATCCTCATGCTACCAATATTTTGAAATCTTATGATGGTTCTTAGGCTATGAAGATGTTACACTATTTGAAGAGATTTTGTAATTAATTTTAAATTGGTTTGTTGCTCCTAAAAAAAGAGAAATTATTACGTGCGGCTCGTCCAAACTTATTGAGTATTTTGTAAGTATTTATTGATTTGTGGAATATTTAGCAAATTCAACCAGTTTTCTTCATTTGGATTTCGCTCATAATAATTTCTCTAAACAGAGAGGAGAGAGATGGGAGAGTTTGCTATTCATGAAAGAAATAGAAATGAAGTTTTTCTCGTTGTTGGTAGGGAGAGATCCTACCTTAAAAAAGGGTGAAGTCATATTTTTGGTTCAAATAAGAAGAGAAATTTTGGGCTATAATAGAGAAAAGCTTTTATTTAGGCTCTTACAATAGAGAATAGGAGAGAGTAGTTGTAATATCAAACATCTCATATGTGTCTAGTTCTCATCTTCATAACATATAATTATATTTTTTTCTTGATATTTGAAATGTATAAAGTGGTATATCCATCATCCTTATTAATTTTATATAAAATTTGACCTCTTTATGTACCCTTATTAAAATTTAGTGAATTATTTGATTTTTTAATGGCTATTGATATCATATGTTTTTTTTTTTTAAATACATTTGCTATTAATTAGACAAATATAAAAGTATACAACTAAAAATTTCTTTTAAATGGTGATAGAATAGAAGCCATAATTCTTAAGAAAGTACTCTTGGCCTTTATTAATCTTATAGGCATCACTATCATTTATTAAAAATAAAATTAGCTTTTTCATTCATTATTTCATGCTTAATTGATGATGCAACTATTTAGATCAATCTTTGAGAGAATAATTAAATTGGTTGTCACATGTTGCAAGTTATTTGATTGTTGTTTGAAAATTTGATACTCAGTTGTAATTTTATTTTTCATTTGATTATTCACACATATTCTCTAAATTTTATTTTTTGTGTAATTGATGCAATCACAACACAAGGACTAATGATCTCAAAATATTTAACTAAACAAATTCAAACCACTATCCATATCAGATCAATATATTTTTTAGGGTTTAAGGTGAGTTTATCATTCTCGATAACTACGAACACACATTACAATCATAATCCATAGCAATCATAAAATCATGATACGAAGTTCTTAAAAATATATATACATCTAATATCACATAGACACAAATTCAAAAAAATGTATTTTATTCTAATACTGAATGTTCAATAATTGATACATCTTAATGGTCTTACATATATCTCATAAAAGACCAAAAATTAAAATTAAAAAAAAAAATCTCAAAATTATCCTCCAAAATCTAATAAAGAATTTATATGTTTATAATCGTCCTGGCCTTAAAGTAGTAAGGATAAGATTTTTCAAACGAATAACTTCACAAAAGGAGAAAAAATCAGCACAATAAAATCAATAGCTTCAAGGTTCCAAAATTGCAACGATAAATGATTCCAAAAATGTAGCGTTTGATGAATTCATTATGGAAGACTATTCCATGACTTACAATACGATACAATTATACAAAGTAGTAGCCACAAGGACAAAATAATATAAAGAATATCTTGAAATGTTATTGTTGTAGAGAAAAATCGTAGACTCATTCAAGATGTTGATTATGTTGGAATCAAATTTGTCCATGGGCGACTCTGGTTATACTAATAGATTTAGCAAGCTATAACGAGATAATATAGTAAGGGTATCAACATATATGGAGAGTAGGTGAGGATTCAGGAGACCTTTGTGATCAATAAAAATGGCATGATGTCCAAAATATGCATATATATATCTCTTATTCATGGCTTAATGGGGCTATAGGAAAAGCAAAAATAATTCATGTAGACACGAAGGCTTAAAAAATATGGCTCTACGTCTAGCATGGCTTGAGAAAGTCCCCAACGAGTACCTTGAGAATGTCTCAGAGTTGAGTGTTTTAGGTACGAGAAATTATTCTGTGCGGAGACCGAACGTAGAACAGCGTCCGGAGACAACCCAGAATGCGCTACATCAGCAGCGCCGAGCTGCGGTACCAAGCAAGGGACGACGTGGCGCATTCTGTTTGGTCTCCGGATGGTGTTCGGCTTCCACAAAGAATAATTAATCCCCATGAGCCACGAGGTCCCTTGGGATGGCTCTCTACCGTAGTCGGGCTATTAAGGTCGAAGGGACTTTTGGGGGAGACATAGGTCAGAGGTATCTTAGTAGGCGAGCAACAAAGGTTGGAGGGACTGTAGTCAATGGACGTGGAGGCTGGAGGACCATAGTCAGCATGTGACAGAGAGTTGAGGACCATAGTAGGAGGGAACATAGTCGTCATGCGACAAAGGTCGGAGGTCATAAGGACCGTAGACAGCTTGTGAGGAGGTCAAAGAGATTGTAGTTGGCGGGTGACGAAGATTGGAGGGACGCTATAGGGGGGCGATGGAGGTTGGACGAAGGCTTGGATGTGGCTACTGGACAAAGGTCCAATGTCGTTGGTCAAGCAGAGGTCTAACTGAGGCAAGTCGGTGGTGGTGCCATGGTGGAGCACCAGGATTCAAGCCTTGGAGCTCTCTTAAGACTCTAGCTCGAGGTGTAAACTTTCAAAAGTCTAAGCCCCCTTAATGTGGGAAGTGAGGGTGTATTTTTAGATTTTGAGAGTGACATGCTCTATAAATATGAAGAAGATCCAAGACAAATTTGACGTGCTCCATTGAACGGCCCATACTGATTCCCTTGATCTTGGAGTGTTTGGCAAGCGTTTGAGTGTCTTATGATGTTAGAATTAAGCATTCTTGGGCTTGTTAGATTCGTTTAGTTGAATTGCTCGATTCGACTATAAGCATGCTATATTTGGATATCATGTGGTCATCCAATAAATGCACTAAAGTTTCAAAATATGCTTTGGTCCCTTGGTTTGGGCTTGGATTTGATCGACTTTGGTGTTATTGGGTTCGTCTCATTGAGACATTCAATTTAAATATAAGTTTGCTGAAATCGAAATTTGAATGATCCTAATTTAATTTTGAAGTTTCTAATTCAGATATGCATCAAGATTTGTGATTGATCAAGGTGATTTTTGGTGACGTATAAATTAATATTATAGAAAAATCATAAAGAATCAAGCTAGATGAGCTAGAAGCAGCTTGCTAATACAAAGCATTATAATAGGACATATTTTAATACTTATAAACTAAGATTATTTGAAAAATAAAAATATTAACTAAAAAAAAAAAATTCATGTTTTTAAATATGAAATATATTGCTCAAAGATTAAAAAAAAATTATATGATTTATATTTAGCTTAATTATGATAGGCCTCAAAATTAAGAGAGAAATATATTATAAATTTAAATTAGTTATTCTTTTATTACATTTTTATGATGACTAGATTATGAGAGTAGATGTATTAGGGCTAGACTATATTAAGAAAGAGAGGCAGGCGTTAAAAGATTTGATTAGAAAGTATTAAAAGTGATCCTTCTATTTTTATACTTTTATATGACACAAATAATGTGAAAATATGATAATCAAAATTTTGAAATGATAAATTAAAACTATTAGATTTTTTAAAGATAAATACAATATAAATTAGAAGAGTTTTTTTCTTGTTTAAATTAAAAAAAAAAATTATTACGAAATAAAATTAGTGATTAGTGAATGGTTAATATTTTAATTACTTATAGTAGAAAAAATATTAAATTATATTAATAATCAAGTAATCATTCAATTTTTTAAGAATATACGTTATAAAATGTAATTTATTTCAACTTATATTTTATCTCATTAAAATAATAAATTCATAATTACAAAAAAAAAACTTCAAATGTTGTGAAGAAATATTTTAATAATATATTGATTGAAGAAAGATTTTCTAAGGCCAATAATTTCTCACGCACAAACGATTACAATTTTCCCGTTTACCTCCGTATATTATGGGTTTCTATAGTTCCACGGATTTAACGGAATTTAAACTGGAGGACGTCCGCATTCTATTTATTTCTTGCAGGCTTAACGAGAACCTCATTGCGCCGCAGATCTCCTTCCTCCTCACTCGGGCTTCTCCCTCTTCCGCTTCGTCCCTCGAGCGCAGGTGGCGGCGCAGGCGCCTTCTTTCTCCTCCGTTTCTTCCTTCGTGCGCAGGTGACCGCCGCACACGTCCAATTTAGCTGCAATTTTTTTTTTTTTTTTGCGCTTGAGGAGGTTTCGTGAGGTTCTTGATTGGCCATATACTTTTAGATCTCGATTTTTCTGCTGGTTGTTGCGCGATAGAGTAGAAATACGATTAGATTTGCGGTAGTGAGATGGGGATGATTTCGAAGCTATGCTATTATTTTCCTACTAGATGAAATGGATCTTTGGCGAGATCCTCCTTTTGGGCGATCATGAGCTCCAGATCTGTTATTTTGAACTATGGAGCGTAATGCCATCATTGATTTCGGAATCGATTATTGATTGAATATTACTCGATTTTTTGGCTGTTTGAAAACCAGGGTGGTTTTTATGATAATCAGTCTGGTTTTTAAACGCGGAATCTTCTTATCCAGACAGTTGCGCAACATGGGGCTAGCTTTATAGCTGGGGAGGGCCGGAATGTGCTAGAGAATTTTGATTTGACGGAATCTGGAGGCTTATTCAATTTTCTAAAAGTTTTTTATTTGATCAGTGATTCAGTATAAGGTCTTTTGTTTGAGCTATTGTAAACCGGACGTTATGTCAAGGAGAGTTCCATCCCGACGCCCAGCGGAAAGTGGCAGCCTGCCTTTGATTGGCTCGTTGAATCAGAAATCAAAAACTTCCCCGCTTCTTTCTATTGGTCTAGTTGTCCTGGTAAATATTTCCTAGATTTCACGTCTAGCTTTAAAAAAAAAAAACTGGCTGGTCATCTTGGCCGCCAGATCAAGATCTTCACTGTAATAACCATGTTTTTTTCTCAAAATTTTCAGGGTGCCATTCTTCTTATTGGCTATTCTTACAGCGGCTCAGGTCCGTATTTTTCCACTAATGCATGTTTCGGGAATACTTTGGGTTTATTTGTCGTAGAAATTGTAGTTCTCAAATGAATTAAATGGTTGGGTTTAGAAAGATGGTAAAAAGTGACCCAAAATGTGAGAAGTTTAGGCTTGGCTCTGGATCCGGGTCAAAGAATGCTTCCTAAGTTCTAGTTTAACTTATCTCTTATATGGTGAAAGTAGCTTGATTAATCTCATTGCCAGGCTAAAGGATTCCTTGCTTTTTGGAATACTGATTTTAGTTTGAATTTGCTTCTGCATAATTTTTAACCTCTGTTTCTGGTTAAAATCACCTTACACCAACTTCACATGAACTAAATTCTGGCTTTCTTTTGTTTTCAGGTGTATCTACAAATGTCAGAGAATCTTTTGGCGGTGAAGGTAGAGCATTATTTGTTTTCACTAGTATGCATTGTCTATTATTTAAACTTTATTTCAATCAGGCAATTGTAGATAAAGGCTTGATGTAGCCGACCCCACATAGTGGGATAAAGGCTTGATGTTATTGTTGTTCAATTAGGCAATTGAATATTATCCCTTTGGGCTGATACAATCCGATTTGTCTTTAAGATTTCAGAACTTAAAGAGGCGTATACATGGGATTTATAGATTTATTTTATTTTAATGAATGTATGCTGAGAATATGTTAAGTTTAGATCAAATTCTGTTAGTTTACTATGACTCCTTCCCATCCATTCTAATGGACCCGCTGAGTTGGTCCAACCAATCAACCCGATCCCAGCAAAGGGAGCCGGTCTAGCTGGCGGGCGGAAGAGCCTTGTGGGCTCTACTAGTGTGGGCAGCAGGCAAAGAGAGAGGGGGGCTCAAACGAGATTAATTCTACATTTAATTACTTATCATAGAAAATCAAAGTTGGGAGGGAATTAGGGAGGTTTGTTTATGTAAAAAGAACTGATTTGAATTTAGATTGGGAGGGAATTATGAAGGTTTATTTAGGAAGAGAGCTGGTTTTTTTTTTATTTTTTATTTTATGAAGAGGGCTGATTTGTTCCCCGGTGTATGCTTTTTGCTGACAATATTCTTGTTGTTGATAAGACTAAAGAGGGAGTTGAAGGTAAACTTGAATTATGGAGGTCAACCTTAGAGTCTAAAGGTTTTTGTTTGAGTAGATCTAAAACCGAATACATAGAGTATAATTTTAGTAGTATATCTAATGGGGGGTTTGTGACTTTGAGAGATCAAGTCATTAATAAAAGTACACATTTTAGATATCTTATGTCTATTGTTCAGAGTGATGGTGAAATAGATGGGGATATTATTTGTAGAATTCAAGTTGGATGGATGAAGATGAGGAATGCATTGGGCTTGTTGTGTGATAGAAAAGTATCACTCAAACTTAAGGGAAAATTCTATAAGATGGTTGTTAGACCTGTAATGCTTTAGGGCACATAATGTTGGCCATTAAAAGAGAAGCATAATATTAAGTTAAGTGTTGCAGAGATTAGGATGCTCAAGGGATGAGTGACTTTGCTTTTAAAGAGAGGATACGAAATGAGCATGTACGTGAAAAGGTTGGAGTAGCTCCAATGGCAGATAAAAGATTAGAGAGAGCCGTCTTAGATCATTTGGTCACATAAAACGACGGCCTTCTGATGACCTGTTTAGGAGAGTAGATGTATTAGATTTAACCTATGTTAAGAAAGGTAGATGTAGACCTAAAAAGACTTGGTTAGAAAATATTCAAAATGAACTTTTTTTATTAGATCTAAATGAGAATTTGACTCTTAACCAGACACAATGGATAAAAAAGATTCATGTAGCCAACCCCACGTAGTGGGATAAAGGCTTGATGTTGTTGTATGAAGTGGGTTGATTTGAATTCAGATTTTGGAGGGAATTAGGAAGGTTTATTTAGAGAAAGATGACTTATTTGAATTCAGATTGTGAGGGTTTATTTATGATTAATTAGGTTGTTTTATTTTCATTATGAGATTTTTGTGTTTTGGTATAGTTTTCTTTGGAGTTGTTCGTAGCGACATCTAGGTTTTGTGGGGAGTCAATCTTTCTCTTGAATAATAGATTAACTTGTATATTGGTTTGTTGTGTTGATATCAATAGAATTAGCCTATAATTTCTGCTGCATTTTCTCTTCTTTATTGTCATTTTTGACTGTGCGGAGATCGGATTCCTGTCACATTCATTTGACATTGGTGGGTGGCATAGAACCGAATAGAAATCTTGATAGTCTTGAAAGAAGAGGTTTGATTTGAACCCAACACCAAAAACGAAATGCATGGTAAGTTCGCCATCAAACCATTGGATATCATTGTTGAAGTAGTGATTAGGTTGCCTCAACTCCTCCAACTAGTCGTGGAAACAAACTTTTCTTTCTTATAGGGTAAGGCTACATGCACCAATTAATCCCCGACTTGCATTTTGGGGAGCTTCATGCATTTGGGGCACCCTTTAATCACGCTAGTAATTTGAGATCATATTTTATCTTCAAAATTTTTTTATAGATCAATAATACATCAGTTTTCATTTTATTAAAAAGAAAAATGTAGCGCTTCCAACTTAATATGAATATGAAGGAGAAGTACGCTGATCCTTTCTCTGAATGCAGAAAGTTTTAATTTGGCATTCCCATGTCCTCTTTGGTTTAAGAGAGCAAAATCAACTGATGCAAGCATTCATGTTTTTTTTTTTGTAATTTCTTTTGAGTTTTTATCAATCAACACGACACTAGATTATGTTGGTAATTTTCTGTGGAATGTGTCGCATACTCCAGCATAATCCCCCTCTTAAGACTTTTTAAATGCCCGAGGCCCACGGTATCTTACAAGTATTCTTTAGCGTATTAACTTAGCTTTATTTAAAAACAAAAACGACTGAATTTTCCCAAACCTTGTTTGTTATGCTGATATGATCCCCTGTTACTTCTTTGCTATCAGTTATTTTCTTGTCAGGTGCTCTGCTTGCCCTTGTGATTTAGTTACGGTTTTCCATGAAATGTATTTTGGTATGTTTGCTGCTTGCAATTTAATACTTTGGTCATGACTACCCAGGATAGTGTTCTAAAACTTGCTAAACATTTATTCAAGATAAATGGATATCCTATCCTAGGAACTTGGTAACTCTTTCTTCATATTCCTTTGAATTCATTTGTGTTCATTACCTCTAATGTAAATTAAGGGTCTATTAGAGAAAAAGGGATGTATATTAGAACATCACTTGTGAATTTAAGATGAATGGTTTAAGTTGAGTGGTATCTCAAGTTTATTATGTAATAAGAGGATATTATAGAGATAAAAGGTTGAATCTATAAAAGGAAACTAAGATTACAGTCTATTTTCTAGGAATTTAAGTATTGACCACTAAAAGTCACTGCTAAGAAATTGAGTTAGTATGTATTATAGAATTAGGAATGATAGATGTGTGAAAGGACCATCTTTCATAACCTTTAGAAGTGAAATTTATTAAAGTATAAGTTGTTGATCTTAGACTTAGGTGATTTGGACATTATAAAAGATAGTAAATTTTCATCAATATGGTGGGAAGAAGAGATTAAAGTAATAGGAAGGAAGAGAGAGAGATCAACTTAGTATGATTTGAAGAAAACCTTGTGTTAAAAATAACGAGCATTGCTTGTACCAATCAATAAGAATAAATATAGAAAAATGATTCAGAAAGCTGAGCCCAAAATAGTTTGGATAATTATTTCCTTATTTTTCCAAATGAGTAGAATGGATAAAAAGTGGATGTGCGAAGTACTTAGATTATCTAGATCTTTCTTCCTGTTTTTTTTAATAAATTTTATGTAACTACTTGGAGTGCAATATTTTTTTGTAGTCAATTATTTCTTGTTTGTGTAAGGAATCCCAATTTGTATATAACACAAGTAAAAGAGGCACCAAAAATGAACAAAATAGTGCACTAAAAAAATAAGCTTGTTGCACTAAAAGTCATGCCAAGGAGCCAAATTGTAAAATCTTACACACTTCAATGAGAACCCTAAATGGCTAGCAAGAATCTAAATATTGAAATCAAACTAAAAAGTGCCATCATTCTTTCAGAAAAGTTGGAAAAAAGTCTGCTGGTCATAAAAAAGTGCACAAATTGAGGAATGCTCTTAATTTTATGAGACTTTTTAAAAGAAAAAAAGATAATAAACAATGAGAAAAGAAACAAATAAAAAATAAAAAATACTTAAAACTTGGGAAAAAAAAAAAAGAAAGGAAAATTCTAAAAATTATCTTGTGCATGGTTAAGCTTTACTGCACTCATTTCAAGGTGTACATTTCTTATTTTTTTCTTGAAAAATATAAATGCCCCACTAACTATCCTCAAAAAATTATAAAAGTATTACAAACTTAGAGAAAATGAGGAATTTACTTTTCAAGCTTAATCTACAATGTCCAAGGGTGAAGTTCATTATCCTAAGGCCTCAAAGTTATCTAAGTAATATAATAGTGATTTAGATCTCTTGAGTTAGCCTAACAGGCATGTTGTATGACAAATTGGAATCGAAATCCTATTGAATCCCGCTAAAATATTTTGTAGTGCTAAATGCATTTATATAAGGCCTTCAAAAGCTCCCATAACAAAAATTCATTTTAAAATCACAAAACTATTCAAGTCACCCTACATATAGGGAAAATTTGTAATTCCTAACCCATGGAAGTTCTTAGCATGCAAAGCTCGATTCTTTTGTTGAGTTAACAAAGTACTCGCTAAATTGCATTTTTAAAGCACAAAATAGCCTCAAATCAAGTTGGAACAAATTCTCACAAAACAAACCCTTAATTTTAAATAAATTCCATGTCAATCCTAAATTTCTTGGATCATCTCTACCAAATTTAGACATAAATCTTCATTAGGTTAGACAAAGTCATTAAGAGTAGAATATTACTTCACAAAATGATCATCAAATCACATAATCGTCAAGCTAAGTTTGTATCAAATTAACGAATCTTGTGTCTCACGAGCTTTCCATATCCAAATAGAGGGATATAAGTCCAAATGTATTCAAATCCTAAATTTTTCATGTCAATTTTGTACCAATATATAAACTTTTAACCAAAACTCATCTCTATTAAGCACGAAATTGCAAATTCACTTTAAAAAAATAAAAAATAAAAAAGCAAATTCATATATATATATATATATATATATATATAAACCCTTAATCTAATTGGATATTTGATTAGAGGTGATCTATGATTGTTTGTTAATTGTTAGACTCTTTAGACTATGAGGCTTTCGACCCTATATTGTTGATAGATTGGCTCCTGCGCAGGTGACCCAAAGTTATAGAGCCATGGTCCTTGATTCGGTTGACCATCCAACCCCATCTACGGCCACATCTATATTCAGAACTTCCAACTTTTATTCAATAGCGAGTATCGTGCTTGAGATATAATTAAAAAGGGTTTTTGCATTCATTAGAAACTTTGTTTTCTCATATATAATATGAAATTTGGATTGACCAAAATGTTTTCGAAAGGAAATCTCCGAAAAAGTGAAATAGTTCTCCCTTAAAAACTTATTGTTGCTCGATGTTCCTTATATGATGCTACAAAGGAGTGAGAAGGAAATAAATCAATTATGAACTTATGAGCATCTTTTTATGGCCTACACTCTCATTTGTGTTTAGGTAAAGATACGATTTACACTAGCTCTTCTTCATATTCTGTGCTTACAGTTGAATAAAATGAATTGTTTTCTAGTGTTAAAGTTAGCTCCTTACATAAAAACATACCTTTTTTTGGCTTTCCAACTGAGGCTGTAGCAATCTAACACTTTATTTTTAGTACAGTTGCTTCATGTACTTTAGAAGTACAACATGCAATTCCTGTCCTGAAGAAAGTATATGGTGACGGCATGCGTAAAGTTCTACATGTTGGCCCTGACACTTGTTCAGTGGTTACCAAGTTATTGAAAGAAGAAGGCACAGAAGCCTGGGGTGTGGAACCATATGATTTGGAAGATGCTGATAGCAACTGCAAAAGCCTTGTACGGAAGGGCTTTGTACGTGCAGCTGATATCAAATTTTCTTTACCTTACAGGCCAAAATCATTTTCCCTGGTCATAACCTCTGATACCGTGGATTACTTAAGTCCAAAGTACTTAAACAGGACAATCCCAGATCTGGCAAGGGTATCCGCAGATGGTCTGGTTATATTTGCTGGTATGTTCAAAGCTTTTGTATTGTAGGCATTAAGTTATAGTTATGTAGCGTATAATTTCAATTTTTATTTAATTTAACCTAATTAGCTTGACTATAAAACCTTGGTTTAGTTGATTCACCCTTGGATGGATTGATCTTTTGATTCAGTGAATGAGAGATTATTACGTGCGGTGTCCGGACCGTCCAGAGGCGAATCCGGATGCGCCTCCGAATGAATCCGGACGCCGCACGTAATAATTTTCCTCAGTGAAGGCTGGAGTTGTATCAATATTTTGGCAAATATCTAGGCAAGCAAGCAAATTCACATGCTTTTTTGGTTATAATCTATTTTTTTCATTTACTGGAGGATTTCAATGCCATGACTGAAGATGACCAATCCCACGGAAGCCTAATGAATGAGCTGCACTTATCTGCTAATTGAATAGTCTATTTATTGATGCCATCAGATAAAAAGTTCGAAAAAATTTTGGTTAAAAAAATTCTGACCAAAATTGGTCAGGTTGACTCTTAAAATTGTATTTATTTTATGATGAATATAAATATATAATATAAAATTTGGTTGTTTATTCATATATTACATTCTTCTAAAAGCAAATTTAATAGCTTTTAGATTCATTTAATCAAATTGTGATCAGATAACGTTATCTAACTTTTAAATAAAAAGTTCCTGGTAGTGAGGGATTACTTTATTTACCTTAGTATCGTAATATTGGCTGTGGCAAATGATTATATTTCAGCATGATTTGGCTAATTGCATTGCTCTAATATTTGTGGAACATCTCAGACTACAAATTCTTTCACAGTTCTATGTGGTCAGTTATTCAATTCATTCAGTCATTTAGGCATGAGAGTTGTTCTGCTTGAACTTCAGAAACAATGGCTGTGTTTGATTGCTAAGCATTTGAGCAAAAGGAATTGAGATTATTAAAAAAAAAAAATCTCCAGTCAATGGCTATAGATTCAGAGACAAAAGACCTACCCATTATATGCATTTCATTTCATTTACTTCACTTTCATTCAGGCTTCGTTTGAGACAACTTTTTTACTGCTTCTTAAAGTAGCTTTCTAATAAAAATTTAAAATTCTTGTATTAAAAAGCTACTTTAAGAAGCAATAAAAAAGCTATCTTAAACGAAGCCTCAATCCACACAAAACTAAAGAGATTTTTTAGCATTTAGGAATGTACCACTTGCACCCAATACCACTTGTTATATACTTTTTTTCTACAGAAAATTCATTTCAACCACAATTGTTACTACAGCCGACTATTTCTTTTTTTTTTTTAGTTGTCTGAATACATCATCATCATCAAATATTTATGATTTTCATTCCTTTTCCATGTTTAGGCTTTCCAGCTCACCACAGAGCTAAAATTTCCGAGCTACCAAAATTTGGAAGGCCGGTATGACTTAATCTTCCTGCTTCATTGCCTCATTTTTCCAGTATTTTTTTTTTATTTATGATGTCAAAAAATTGTTCCTAATATTTCTAAATTAACTTCACCTCAAAAAAGGCCAAATCAAGGAGTCCTTCTTGGTGGCTAAGATACTTCATTTCGTCTGGTCTGGAAGAGAATGAAGCTGCAGCCAAAAAGTTCGAGCAGGCTGCAACTAAAATGTCATACAAGCCTGGCTGCCAAATTTTCCACCTAAGTTCATAACTAGATCAGTTACAGCATTCTCGATCGATCATCCCCCCTCTTATTTTACTCTCGCTCAGGTTTGAGCTTTCTTGCAAAATTGTATTCTTCACTATATTTTGATTGTAAGGTAACATGAATGATGTTTGATTATTTGTTAGGTATTTATTACACAGGCATCTCATGAATTATGACTATATTCGGATTGTAAGATATCATCATGATGTTTAATTATTTATCTGATATTTATTGCACAGCCATCATATGATTATTTCATCTTGTTGAATTAAAAAACTGGCATGAAATTTTTTGACAGCATTTCTGTCGGAAAAAATAGCTTATCAATCTTTTTAATCATAATGAATTTTAAATTTATTAAATTTATGCTAAAACAAACGTAATAAAAATTAATTATTTTTAATATATTAGATCTCAGAATAAATTTAATAATTGTATGAGCTATTCTAATTAAAATTTAATCAAGATATAATATTTTAAATTTATTCATTTTTTGGTATCTATTTTTCAAAAAATTAGATATCACCTAAGTATTATTGAATTTAAGCAATTAAAAGAAGCTCGTGTTACAGGATAAATCATTTATATTTTTCTTTCAAACAGCCTTTAAAAGAAGCTCGTGTTACAGGATAAATCATTTATATTTTTCTTTCAAACAGAAGAAGTTATGTGTTACTTACCTTATAATCTCCCTCCTTTGGATATTTTGCTTAGCTTTCATTCCATATGTAATTTTTCACTTCCCTGCACGTCATTTCTTCCCACCCTTCTCTTCATTTAAACCCCCAATCCCATCTCTCCTCCTCCACCACCAAGGCACCAAGCTTTCTCTCTCTCTCTCTAGCAACTATATATAATATAAATGGAAGGCTTAATCCCTTATTTGTACAGAGCTTTCATTCACAAGAGAAAGGGAAAACAGCCTTCACCTACTTTATGGCTGGGGGAGCCTTTCTTGTCTCCTTCACACTCCTACAGTCGGCTGCCGGACGGCGACTCGGAGAGATATCAAACCTCAAAAGTCGTTCAAAACCCCTTCTCTTCAACGGTTCCTCCGCTGCCTCCGGTGAAGGACGGCACCCGCGCCTGCAGGAAATCCACCTCTTATTAACTGAGAAATTATTCGCATATATAATTGGCGTCCATGCATGTATACCTACATGCCATATTAATTGTGGATAAATAAAATAAAAAGTGTTATTTTTTAATTAATTGTATATTTATTAGGTTACTATATATATAGTATTATTTAATTACTAATACTGGAGCCTAATTTATCTTTGTCGATAAATTGCCAATGCTATACATTATTTATTTATTCCATGAGAAAAGAAGAAATTAGACAAATAGTACATGTATAGCGAGCAAGAAGAAACTTGTGGAAGATGAGAGCATCATAAAAGGAAATGAGTAAATATTTTTATTAAATACCTATATAATTTAAATTTCTCTCTTTTTATGTCTTCTTGCACTCAACGGTACGTCTATGATATCTATATAATAATAATTTTATGAATTATGATAATCCATTCTAAGATTGTCTAATATATTTTCAAAGAGATTTAAGCTGCAACAATCATATTTAGAGGGCAACAACAAATTTCATATCGTATTGCCTGTGATAATACCAAATAATGTAGCAGTGATAATAAACATCAACAATCATAATATATCAATTTTTTTGTTTTTTTCATATGAGATGCTTTATTAAATTTTGTTGAGTTGAGCATCTTAAATGGTTCTGAATGGAAGTGAAATTTGTTTGAATGGATTATCTTGAACTTGAAAGGAGAATACTAGCCGGGGCGCTCGAGTAAGTAGTGTTGCGGTGTTGTACAGGAAAAAAAAAATTCGACAAGTAGGGAGTAAATCCCATGCATCCACCAGTAAGCACAAAAAACTTGAGGTCCAAGGCAACAGAACAACCAGATTGATCAACACATAATAGATCTACATATTAGCATCTATATAAAAATTATTAAAGAAAATTTTGTCAATTATGATAATCCATTCTAATATTATCTAATATATTTTCAAAGGGCATTAGATGTAACATTCATGTTTAGAGGGCAACAACAAATATCATATTGTATTACATGTGATAATACCAAATAATGTAGCAATGATAATAAAGATTCACAATCATGATTTATCATTTTTTTCCATGCAAATTTGAAGTGAATTTTCCTGCCTAAGGAAGAGTACTTGGGTGAAGTTTCTCTTAGATATAAGAGAGGTTGAGATATACTAATTGAGTTCGAATGCGATTAAATGCTGAAACTAGTTCAATAAAGTTTCTCTCATAGTGTTCGTTCGGGACAGCTTTTGTACTGCTTTTTAAAACAACTTTATAGTACAAAATTTTCAAATTAAAGAATTTTTTGTACTAGAAAATTATTTTAAAAAGCAAGAAGAAAGCAGCCCCAAACGAAGCCGGAAGAAAAGCGAAAGAGCTATTGGGAGATTTTTTACCTTACTATCTTAGAAAGATAAACTACTGTGAGCCAAAAATGTTCTTAAATACAAGTAGAATTTGCGTTTAAAGCGGGGTTATTTTGACTAACCAAGTTATCATTTTTGTGCTTTAATCATTCTGAGTCTCATATTAAGATAAGCTTATTGTGAGAAATTTTGAACTTCATAAATATCTATAACTTAAATCTCTCTGTTTGATTTATAATAACTAAGTTTCAGAATGAATATTGTACCGATAAGCTCAAAATTCAACCGAGCGTAATCGGAACAATTGAATCACATTCTCACAGAAATGTCCAACATCGATTGGGATTATGCATAAGGCTTAAATCTTCTAATTTGAACTAAAGCTTATTAAATTAACTAAATTTGAGTTTTAGCTTGATTCTATACGTTTTAATTGGCTTGAACTGATTGGGTTATCATAAAAATAATGTTAATGTAAATATTATTATAATTATAGGATGAAAAATAAGAAAATATTGAATAAAGAATTATAAATTTGTGGAATATAGGTGTTGCATCCCGAAACATTCACGACGGTAGAGAGATAAGGAGTTTAATATCTTAGTTTTGTATGAAGATATAGCCTTGCCAGATTAAAATGATTCTACTTGTACGTGTTGTTTGTTGATTATAGATGATGTCCTTCCTCGAGGAAATGTGTTAGCTAAATGTAGCAAATATATATTATATAGAGCACATTACATAGTTGGAGTTGGGAGAATTCAATGACATGAGAGTTATTTTCAAGAGAATGTTGGTAGTTCCTCTATGAAAGTATTGAACTATAGAAAGAGTTTCAATAAAGAGAAAATAGCGAGACTGGTTTCGCTATTTCAAATAGCTCTCGCTCCAGTACCCAGTTGTAAGCCGAAGCCGGGGTAGGAATCGAATCCGCAGACAGGTGTTGTCTAATGACTTGGTTTCAAAGAAGAATTGACTCATAAGCATGGAATCGGACAAGCAACTGAACTGCCTAAAGAAAGCCAAAAAAAAGGAAGCTAGCCTATTAGCTATTCTAGCCAAGCTGCTTCAACCTGAGGAATGATAGCAAGCAAGTCCAGGTTTGTTGTGCAAGTCATTGTCTTTCTCCGAGAATATAGATCTCCAATAATCAGGCAAGCACGTGGAGTTTGACCCTACGTGAAAGAACGAACGCGCTTTATCTACGATAACCCTCCGACCCCGATAGCAAGGTTTTCCCGTTGTCGTCCAGACCACACGCTCCTGGGATGCGGTAAAGATAACCGTGAACTCGGTGATCATCTACACTCTGTGAATACTTTCACATTTCCACTGAACGCGGCTGCTTGTGAAGCCACCTCCAAACTCTTCCAAGTCCAATGAAAAGGAATGATGTGGAATACCCGATTCCGAACATTATGGCTACATCGCTTCCTTTCATTTCACTACCGCTTCGGAGTAGGAGTCTGGTCTTGAGTTTCTTGGTCTAGCCGCTGTTGAAGCATCGAATGAAAGAATGATTGAAGCCTAAACTAGCCAGATCGAAAAGCGTCCGATTCGTTTGATTGGTAGGACTGTAGTTGAGCGACAAAAGTTGGAGGGTTGTATTCAGGTAACTAAGGTAGAGGGGACTGTTGTCAGATGATTGAGGTCAGAGGGACCATAGTTAGTGGGTGACGGTGGTCGGAGGGATCATAGCCAGCGGGCGATCGTGGTCGGAGGGACCATAATTGAGGGGGCGATGATGGTCGAAGGGACCGTAGTCGACAAGCAATGATGGTTGGAGGCGTTGTAATCAGAGGTCCAAAACACGGACAAATAAGAGAGAGTTGTGCAATTATTATAAAGATGCATCATAATTTTACATAGAAAATCTCAAAAGGGGGAAAACCAGGTGGTCTCGCCTAGTTGAAATAATTTCGCTAGTGTTGGTTATTGATTACAAATGTTTCCTTTCCTCGGGGGAAGATGCCGGCTTAATATAGCAAATATACATTATATGTAGCATATTACATAGTTGGAGTTGAGAGAATTCAATGACATAAGAATTGTTCTCAAGAGAATATTACCATGTTCGTTTGGTCGGTAGGACCATAGTTGGGCAATGGATGTCGGTGGGGCATTAGTCAAGCAACTAAGGTTGAGGAAATCGTTGTAGGATGATAGAGGACGGAGGGACAATAATGTAATAGCCTGTATTTTGATCCACACAAATAGTTTTTTTGGAAGTCATTATAAGTAAAATTTCAAAACCTTTTTCGCCATAAAATAGTTATAATTGTGTTTTCATTTCAATTATTTGATATTTTTTATATTTTTTCTATCAAATTTATATTTTTGTTATCGAAAAAATGAGAATAATTTTTATTGGTAAAACTTAATTTTACTGCATAAATTTTGTTATGTGATAGATTCCATTAATATAAGTTTTAAAACAAGAATATATTGCATTTTTACTAGTTAAATTGGAATATGTGATTTTTTGAAATAAATGCATAGTAGATAAATTTGATAGATTTTATTGTATTTTTTAATTACTGTATTTTATACATGACATTGACAAAAATATAGCATTTGCATATAAGCAAGGGAGGCTGGATAGAAGGGTGATTGTTAATATGAAAGATGAAGACCATGGGCGGACCCAATGTAAAAAAAAATAATAAAATAAAAAATTCTTTATTATATGATTCTTTAGGTAATTTGTCCCCCTCTATGTATTTTTTAGTCTTTATTATAATGATTTTTAGGCAATTAACCCCCCTAAAAGTTTTAAAATACTATGGTCTTTAGGCAATTGCCCCTACAAAATTAAACATATTATGTAGAGATGTTATTGCTTCGGAACGATAAACCAAATATAAAGAGAAATCGTAAAGAGAATAGGAACAATGAACCAGGTCGAACCTCACTAGGGGTTGCTGCCCCTTGGACCCCTGACATATCTACGAAACGTACAATGATGAACAAATAGGGGTCAAGAGGCAGCGCCCTCGAAACAAAGTTTAGTTGTAAGGATTTATGAAAAAAAAAAAATTACACTTTTACTTAGAAGTTTACCCTCCTGAAAATTAAGAATTGATTCTCCCTTGATGAAGATTGATCTATTGGTTGATAGTTGAGTCTAATTAATATTGATATCCAATAGTCAAAAGAAAATTTAAGTTATTTTGATAATTTTATATTTAAAGTTTTGAATTCTAATATATATTTTAATTAGTAATTTTCAAATAAGTTGATTCATAAGCTCATAAATCAGGAAGGATTTAACTCATTTCATCATTTGGCTCAACAGCGGAATCACGGAAGACTGGAAGAGTATGAATCAGTTTAGGCAGGTATTCATGGAGACCAGTAGGGCTTAGGGTTCTTTCAAGAATTTTTGGTCTTCGCTGCGCTATATAGCAAAGCAGAGACAGATTCCTCCCTGTTCCTTCGCAGAGGATCAGTTATCTTTCCGTCTTCCCGCTCTTTTTGCGGCCTCAGAAGAATCGGCGGCTACTAGCGATCCGCCGTCAAATTCCGACGAGATATATCGTAAGATTTCTTCAAAATATTGTTTTTGATTCGTGTCTTTATGTATCGTTTTCCTTCCGGTTTGAACTTCTGCCAAAATTTCTTGATTGTCCTTCGTTTTCCTGCAAGTTATTGATCTCATATGGCTGTAGCCGCCATGCCTTTTTTGGATTCTTGGGAGTTGGGCTCCGTGATGTAGTAGGATTTGCTCAGTTTACTTTGCTTTCAGTGTAGCCGACCTGCGGATATTTGTGGAAGAGTTTCACAGAGGTTTTTTTAATCGCTTTCTGGGCTTATTAGGCTGCTTGTAGTGAGAGATCATGATGGATGCAGTTAGAAATTAACACCGATTGTAAACTCCAAAAACATCTTCAAATTCCCTCAAACGTGAAGATTTCATTCACGAATAAAAGGAATGAAAATAGAAGTATTATGTTTTGAAAGATTTTTAATATTTGAAGCAGCCAAATGAGCCCTTAGATTGATGTTGAAGTCTTCTCTCACTTGCCAGCTAGTTAGACTACATTTGAGGCAGCTTATACTTTGCTGTTTTTGGTTGTTCAAAATTGCTTTCCAACAACAATTTCTATGATGCTTTCCCAATAATAACATTTATAAGACAAATTTTTTTTTTCCAAATGTAGTTCAGAAGATATAATCCAAATAGATATTTTTATCATTCTTTGTTCTTTGCCACCACAAAAACGATTAAATTGCTATTTCAAATGAAACCTTAGCTCTATCTCTTGTAGGTAGTGTTGATTTACTGATTTCTTGAGAATGAGAAACCCTAAGATGCATAACTAGTTTTATGGAAATCCCCTCAAAAAGAAATGATTTAGTTTTCACACAAAAAGAGTGAAGATATAAAATTATCATTTTCTAAAAATTTACAAGCAAGCAAATGAGCTGTAAGAGAAATTTCATATGCAGCCTTAAAACTAATGATATTTTAATCCTGCTGATGGTTTTAGGTGGAAGTGCAGCCCAGTCACAGTTAAATTACATGAGTAATTTATCATTTTGTAACTCTTAGATTTTGAGATTCTAATGTTGCCTTGGAGCTTTTTTTCGAATTGTGCTTGATCTTGGCTTTCCGTCTTTTTTATGCCTTCATGCCTAGACAATTTGTTTTTAATTTTTCCTTCATGGAATATGTTGTTTTAAGCTGGCAACCTTTCTTGGAAATATCAAATATGCTAGCTTGTCTGGTTCCTTGGTTAGCAAGTTTATTCCCTTCTATAGTCATAAGAAGTTTTAGAAGTGCTGAAGAACACATGAATATATACTGCCTCTTTTTTATTTCATTTTCTGAGTGGTTAAACTTTTGATCCCAGTGAAAGGCAAGAAGTGGTATCTCTGAAAATGAAGGCATTGATTCTTGTTGGAGGGTTTGGAACCCGCCTGCGACCATTAACACTCAGTGTTCCAAAGCCGCTTGTTTGTTTTGCTAATAAACCTATGGTTCTGCACCAGGTAAAACTTTTTTCTAAACATATTTACCCATAATGACATAAATTTTTTATTAAACTATGTATTGGCATGATAATCATCTTAAATCATTTTATCCTTTCTTAGCTATAGTTTCTGAGTTTTGCATGCAATTCTTTGCGTAGACAGTATCTTATATACTGTTGACTTATATAGTTCTATAATATTTCATAAGTATTTTCTATCAACTTTTCCATCAGTTGACTTATATAGTTCTACAGATTGAAGCTTTGAAAGAGGTTGGAGTAACAGAGGTTGTCCTAGCTATTAATTACCAACCTGAGGTGGAAGTTGAAATCAGTTTTATTTTACTTGCTTGGATCCTTTTCTCCCCATCCTGAAAAGATTTATCTTTTCTTCTCAGATCATGCTGAACTTTTTGAAAGAGTTTGAAGATAAGCTTCATATAAAGATCACGTGTTCTCGAGAGTCTGAACCACTAGGAACAGCTGGTCCCCTGGCTTTAGCTAGAGCTAACTTAGTAGATGGTTCTGGTGAACCTTTCTTTGTGCTCAACAGCGATGTCATCAGTGAATACCCATTCGCCGAACTAATAAAGTTCCACAAATCACACGCTGGAGAGGCTACCATTATGGTCACAAAGGTATAGTGCGTATACATATCACAATATATCTGCAACTATCAACTTTTTGATCTTCAGTTCAACTCCTCCATCAGGTAGACGAGCCATCTAAGTATGGTGTTGTGGTAATGGAAGAGAAAACCGGAAAAGTTGAGAAATTTGTAGAGAAGCCTAAAATGTTTGTGGGCAACAAGGTCAATGCTGGGATTTATCTTCTAAACCCATCGGTCCTCGACCGCATCGAGTTGAAACCTACCTCAATTGAGAAAGAGATTTTTCCCAATATTGCAGCAGATCACAAGCTCTATGCCATGGTTCTACCTGGATTCTGGATGGACATTGGACAACCAAAGGACTACATCGTTGGCCTGAGGCTTTACCTTGATTCTCTTAGGAAGAAATCTTCCCTGAAACTTGCTGTGGGTTCTAACATAGTGGGAAATGTCTTGGTGCATGAGAGTGCGACGGTCGGCGAGGGCTGCTTGATTGGTCCAGATGTTGCGATCGGGCCGGGCTGTGTGGTTGAATCTGGAGTCAGGCTCTCTAGCTGCTCTGTAATGAAGGGAGTTCACATTAAGAAGCATGCCTGCATCTCAAGAAGCATAATTGGTTGGCATTCAACAGTCGGCCGATGGGCGAGGATTGAGAACATGACCATCCTTGGGGAGGATGTACATGTTAGCGATGAAATCTACAGCAATGGCGGCATTGTTCTTCCTCACAAGGAGATCAAATCCAGCATCCTTAAGCCTGAGATTGTCATGTAAAACATGGCTATTTGAAGCTGCATTGGAAAGTAAAACATTTGCTTTGCTTGTTCTTTATCTGTTCTTCTTTGGTTTTCAAAATATTATTGATATCAACAGGCTTTGGCAGTCCATCTAGCTTGGTATGCTCTAGTCTAGAAATATGTACATGTAAGTTTGCCATTGTAAAACAATCTCACATGTCTGTACAACCTTCTTCCTGCAGTAACTTCAGTGAATAAGTACCATAATAGACATAAATTATTAAAGCCATGATTTAAACTGTTCATATGGGAAGATGTAGTGTGCTTGTGCTGACGTTTTCTTCCACCTCGGCTTTTAATTTTATCGCGCACTGCGGTAGAAGTTTTAAAACGGCGGCCTTCCAATGTGCCGGTTAGGAAAGTAGATGTATTAGATTTGGCTTATGTTAAACAAAGGTAGAGGTAGGTCTAAAAAGATTTGATTAGAAAATATTAGAAATGACCTTTCTCTATTAGATTTAAATGAGAATTTGGCTTTAACATGACACAATAGAGAAAAATGATTCATGTAGCAGACCAACGTAGTGGGATAGAGATTTGATTATGAATAAATTTTATGGGAAGAAAGACTTTTTTATAAATAAATTTATTAGTGTGTTATAGTGTTAAGTAAAATATTATTTAATTTTATGTCTATAATTTTAAGAACAGCCTTTGAAATTTTGTTTCTTATACAATTTTTTTTATTGGATGCAGCTTTGACTATCAACTAAGAGGATTATATTTATTTTTTTATATAGTTTTAATACTAGCTATAATTTGATGAATAAATTTACTCTTACCTACAATCTTTGACAGAGTTAAAACTTGTGTAAAATAATGAGGTGTTTGCATGATATTTTAAATATATATATAATTATTTGATGAGTACATTAATGTGTATATAGTTGGAGTTTTTCCTACATATGAAATGTTATCTCGATGGAGTACGACTGATAAATTTATTTGTCCTTAGTGCATGAAGTCAAATATATATATATATATATCGATTGGGATAATTTTTTTATTGTTTTCTAAAATAATTTTTTTTAATAAAATTTTTTATGTTCAAAAATGTTTTGAACTAAAAAGTCGTTTTAGAAATCAATATGAAAGTTATTCTAACAGTCTTATGCTTAGGTTGGGACGTCTTTCTTAAGACTTTTTAGAGCAGTTTTTTAATACAAAAATTAATTTTTTTTAACTAAAAAGGAGCTTTAGGAAGCAGCAAGAAAGTCGTCCCAAACGAAGCCTTAATTTTATTCTTACAAATAAATTTTGCTAGCTAATCATGTTCTTAGACGTTGTAAATATTTATTTCTAAATGACTTTCAGAAATCAATTCCTTCATTAAAAAAGACTAATGAAAACTTTTTAAAAATTACAGCATAAAAAATTGGAATTTTTATAGCTATGCTGTGAGAAAAATACTCCAATACTTCAGAGAAGAAAAATATTAGAATGGTTGACAAGTGGCCTTGCATCAAACTTATGTAGATGAGTGCACTCTAAAGAGGCTAAATTATTTGGAATAAAGATTTGTGATTATTGTATTTTTATGGAGTGATTATTATCTCTTCTTACAAATACAATCTTTATATTTTTAGAAATGATTTGAAAACCTATTCTTGAAATTAATCAATTTTTTGAAGATTTATGTGCGACAAGTTTAAAAGAGGAGTATTTAATGTACATGAAAAAAATATTTTTGTCAATTTATGAAAATTTAAAAAAAAATCATCTGAATTTTTTATTCAATGAACATTTGTCAATTTATTTATCATATTAAGATCATCCGCAACTGAACAATAAATAAGTGAACGTCGTTCGTCAAATGATCCAATTGAACGCAAAATTGTTCACTAATTTTTCTGGAGTGAACAGTGCGACGTCAATATTGATGTTTCACAGTTCACCTATGCAAAAAAAATTGGCTTACGGGATTTGCGGAAGAAGCGCCAGAAAGAGAAAAAAGGCGGTTCATTTGCAATGAGATGAAGAAATGGAGTTCCATTAAAGATGAATTAATGCATTTTGAAGTTTTACTATTTTTTTAAGTGGAAAATGAATTTTTTTGTTGAAGATGTCCTAAATAAGGATTGGCTATCCAATTCAATATGAAATAAAGAATAAGTGGCCTTATTCAATATTAATTACAAGCAAAATTACTATGATAGTAATGGACATGTATAATGCTGTAAAAAAGGAATTTTACATACATACCATTTTATATCATCTTATTTATATATCTAAATTCAAAATTTTAATATTACATAAATACCACCCTATATTATTTTAATATCAAATATATCACACATATTTTCTTCTTATCACTTATATATTTCATTTCTGTCACCCATATTTGATATGAAAATGAACTATGTGCGGTATGTATGTAATATTAAAATTTTAGACGTTAAATATCTAAATATAATAATATATAGTAGTAAGTATGTAAATCTTGCTAAGCTAAGCCCGAACCAAAATAGCTGCACCTAATAATCGAAGAAAAATGGGAGTGATAACTCGCAAAATTACTGTGTAACAAACGGTTGGCTTCCTCCCGAATCCTTCGCTCTCTTTTGAAGTTCCTTTCAATGGCCGCTCACACTGCCATTAAAACTGCACCACATCGCCCGCCAGATGCGCTACGTTCGTCTCCGGTTATCTCTCACGAATATCTGCGATGTTTCCGCCTCTCTCCTCTCCGTCTTCATCTTTCCCTCTCTGCACACTCTTCCTCTTCATCAAAGGTACGCTTTCGTTGCCCTTCCTCCTTCACAAAACCCTAATTAGCCGATTTTGTGTTTCCAGACACATTTAAGTCTCTTCAAAAACTAGATTGCCGCCGTTAGGCCGCGGTTTGGCGCCTGCGCCACAAGATCCGGTACAGCCATGGAGAACAAGGCGATGTCGGACGATAGGATGCTGGTAGATCTTGTTTGACTTGTGCCGTTTGGATGGATTCCATTCATTAATTACATCTGTGGTTTTAAGGGATTGATTCATTTATTTTTTACACTTTTTTTATGTTTCTTTGCGTTGGCCGTTGTTTCTTAGGTCCTGACTCAATCCGGATGGATGCAGGTCATGGTGCCACCACATCCGTTGATAAAGCATTGGATCTCTGTCCTCAGGAATGAGCAGACCCCTTGTGCAATTTTCAGTGAGTGACTAATTTTACCTGTCTATTATTATTTTCTTGTGAAGAAAATTACTTAAGTATAAGCGTGTGTCCTATAATGTATAGCTTTCAATTGTCAGTTGGCTGGCAGTTAACTGTTTTATGAGTTAATTCGCATAGGTGCAAAATTATGAATATATACATTAATCAAAATAACCGCAGAGCATTTTTGTTAGTCTGAAAGAATTGTTTCATTAATTTTGGTTCATCACTCAAACTTTCTTCAATATGCTTTACTTTGGCTTTATAGTCTTCTGCAATTCTGAGAAAAAATTACAGGTACTAATGATGGAGGTAGTGAGGTACAGTTTTATGCGGTATAGCACAACAAATCTGTTAATGCTATACTATTATAAATTACGAGGGCTTTCTAATGAGATGACTGACTTGTAATATCCGTTGTATATTTTCAGTAGCTCGGAGGTCGACTGTGTGCTGCTTAGTAAGGAGTTCATAGTTTCATGTATTTCATCTGTTTAGTGAAGTTTCCAATGTTATCATTAGGTTGATACATCTTTTCCAAAACTACCATTACTTATTACGTAGAAACAAACTTATGATTAGCAGTTTGATATTATTGTCAAGAGGTTAACATTTGTTCCTCTGATCCTATCTAAATTAGTCAACCATTGCATTTTATAAGATTTGTCAAATTACAAAACCATGTTACTGCTTGGTTTGTAGCTATCCCTACTTTAGTATCTTGTTGGAAGTTTTAATTACTCCCCTCCCCCTTTATGCTAGGGAGTGCAATGGCAGAGCTTGGAAGATTACTTATTTATGAGGCTTCAAGGGATTGGTTGGTAAGTTATGTTTCCACACCTCTGTTGAATATCATTAGGTTCAACAATTTTTCCAAATTTTATTTTCTTTAAAATCTCTCTAACTTCGATTTTACTAAGACGTCGATAAAAGCAAAAATCTTTATTTTCATTTAGGGTGCTTAGGTCACTAAAGTCTCGCATTCTCACAATTTTTATTGAAAAATTTAGTAAAATATCTCATCTATCTTTATTGAATATCCTCTTCTAATAAAAGTCTTTTTTGATATTCATCCTTAATGCACTTCACTTGAACTAAATCCTTACTACTATTCTATGTTTGGCTAACTTAAACATATATATTTCGCCCTTCATAATGTCTAATTTATTATATAAATCATTAAAAATTAAAATCTTTGCATCGAATATTATTTTCTTAGACTCTTTACGTGCCTCTTTATATATTTTCCAGTTATTATAATTTTTACATCTAAATTAATTTTTATAACAAATATTCTTATTTTTTAACTATTTTTTACCCATTTTGATTCCACCACTAACTATTTTTACTTTTAGAAGCTTTTTCCTTTGATACTCCAATCACATCTTTTGCAACATTCTTAATATCGCAAGATATGTTTTTTTATATAACATTAGCTTCCTCATGCACAGAAAAAATATTAAGATCTAGAATCTTACTCTCAAAAATATTTTTGTTAATATTTTTTAAATGCCCCCATCTAATTCTAGAACAACGATTTACTTTAATTTTTATTTTCTACTCTTTCATCTTAAAGTCCAAAACTAATAAGTGATGTTGAGTACATAAACTTTCACTCATAATGACTTTATAAACTTTGCAATCTTAGCGATCTATTTTTCTTATAAGAAAATAATCAATCTGAGTTTTATCATATACATTCTTATAAGTGATGAGATGCTAATATACTTTCTTAAATAAGGTATTAATAATTACAAAATAATAAACTAAAAAAAATTATTATGATCTTACCACCTTCATTAGTCGCTTTAAAGTCATAACCACTATGAATACTTTTAAAATCATCAGCATCTCAACCAACATGTCCATTTAAATCTCCTCCAATAAAAACTCTTTTTTCGAGAGTATTAAATCTTTTAGGTCATAACAAAACTTTAATTTTGAGCATATATCCAAACATACTTGAGGAGCATAAGCACTTATAATATTAATAATTTTAGCATCAACAACTATAATTCTATATCCAATTCTATTAATTTTTATAATATTATCTTTCAAACTTTTATCTATAATCACATCTACACCATTTATATTATGACTCCTACAAAAATATCACAGTTTAAATCTTAAGCCTTCTCTTCAATCTGTTTAGTTTCCCAAATGCATATGATATTTATCTTTCTATAAATCATAATATCTATTAATTTCATTAATTTGCATGTAAGAGAACCTATATTCCAAGTTTATATCCTAATTTTAATTTCATGAACTAGCTTTTTTGCCCACATCCGTTCATGATGTGGAAACTCTTGCCTATTTAACACTGCACCCTAGCACCGGTGCAGCGGCCCTTACACACTTTTTGTTATATTTAGGCCATACAACATGTCGCTTCCAAGGAACGCCCTAACATTAATACAATGCATTAAATAATTCATATCATGATTATTCGACAAATTTTACACTGCTATCGACTACCTAACATAACCCTCCATTTTTCTCATCCAGAACTTGAGAACTGACAACAACAGTGTTATCCCTACTTACAATAACAACAACATCAAGCCTTTGTCCCACTACGTGGGGAGTGTTATCCCTACTTAGTTAAACAAAAATCAATATTTCTTTCTGAATAAATCTTGTTCCATATGGTTTAAAATCTTGCCAATCAACATTAGAAAAAACTATTAGTACTGTATTATTTTTGACACTGAGAACAAAAAAGAATAAAGACTACCCGATCAAAGAACAATGATTAACATCACAATCCTAAGCTGCAATTCCTACAAGGTGCCTTTGCCATTGAAAGCCGATAATCTTTGAATCAAGTAACTAGAGTGTGAAAGAACTGAGAAAAACATAAAATAAACAAACCAAAATACAAGATTACAAGACTGAAGGTAAGTTACTGTTGTAGCCTTTGGAAGACGCAATAAATTTTCTAATTGACAGTTCATGCCACTTCCCAATTAACAGAAAAACAACCCCCACTAGTTTTCTGGATGAAGAAGTTTAGGGGAGATCTGATGAAACCCGTTCTGCACCCTCTCCTTCTATTTGGAGACCAACATAAGTTTTTGGAAGGCTGGACTTGCTGGACAGCACTATATCCTGCAAGAAAATTCAGAATTTCAGTAAACTACTGTTCTTTGGCAAAGAAGTATAGATGAAACTATGGACAATGGAGACCCGATGTAGGCTTTGTGCAATCCAAATGATATTTTCCTATTTTCGGCTGGATGTTTCTTGGACTTCTTGATACCTAGAGACAGATGGGAAGACCAGTGGATATGATTGCTAGTGGCTGGATGGACCTGGGTATGGATGAGTCGGCGGCTGGCTCTGTGTGATTGGCAACAATTTGATGTCCTGTACACAAAACTGCTGGCTGAAATTGCAAGAAGAGGCTTCGGACTGATTTTGGTGGAATCCCGGACTCTACTACAACCCCTCTCTTTCCTTCATCTCCTCTCAAGATTTAGGGGAAATTCACCCAAGGAATGGGATCTTTTCCTCCCTCTCAGATTTTTCAAATCTGAAATCAAAACTCCAAAAATTCCCCCTCCCTCACGTAAGACTTAGGTATTTATAGGAAATAGCCTAAAGACTAAAATATATTAATTACTAAACTATGCCTAATAAAAAAATAAGAGAAAATAGACTATTAAGTATTTTTTTTGTTATTAGAAATGGTCCTCCTATCTCTATCTTTATCAATTTTAAGAATTGATTTGCACATAGTCATTCTTTAATGTTCATTATTCAACTACCTAGAGTTGTGTAGAAGAAATTAATGGTTTAAAATCTTGCTCCAATCAACTAGCATGATTTTGTCTCATAGAGAAATTTATAGAGAATGCATTCCAGGTGGACGATTTATTAATTTGAACCTATGCTGGTGCATCTCTAGCAACAAGTGAACATTTCTACTTTGGATTTTGTATCAATACTTATCTTTTGACATTTGGTGATCCTTGTGGGAATGCATTTGCAGGCACAACTTTGTTTTGTGCTCCTCCTTTCCTGTATTAGTTATTCTTGAGGTATAATTCATATCAAGTGGGTCATTGGATTAACAGAAACTGTCACTTAAAAGCGATGGCTTTGAGATTTTCACTTGGCTTTCTTTCATGATTATAATCTTCTCATTCATTTCAGGGTTTATAGGTCTAATTTTTACGTTACAATTCCTGGCAGCCTACAATCTCTGGTGAGATTCAGTCACCAATGGGTGTGGCTACTGTTGAATTTATTGATCCAAGGGAGCCTGTGATGGTTTGTATTTTGTTTAACTTTCTGTTTTGCAACTATTTCATTAAATATGATTATAGCAGTGTGCTCCATTGTATTATGTGCTTGGCTATTATACCTTTTAACAAATATAAAACTATATTAGATTATTCAATTGTCAACTTGTTATTTTGACATTTGTGTGAGTCATAATGCTAGTTTGAGGATTCATTTTTTTACCGAGCATGCCCTTATACATAATTGCTTTAACCTTGCAGATTGTTCCCATTTTGAGAGCTGGTCTTGCTCTTGCAGAGCATGCTTCATCAGTTCTTCCTGCAACAAAAACTTACCATCTCGGTGAGGAGAGGCTGTATCATTCTTTCTTTATTCTCATATCTTTGCTTTCCAATTTAAAATTCATGAATTTCTATGAAGCATGCCTAGACATAATTTAGTCATTCTAAGAATAGCTCTTCCTTCAAGAAGCATTAGCATTTTGCAAGAATGATTTGACAAAACAAATATTAAACTAATATAACATAAAAAATTGGCTTTGATGTTTCTTGATCTAATTATTTGATCGGTTTTACATGTTCAACTGCATTTGCTACTCGCTATTTTGAGTGTGGAAACTGATAGGTGTCTAGCTAGCAGCTCTCCAATAATTTGTATATGCTATAAGTGTAGTTATACTTAAAAAAGTTATTTATTTTCTCAACTGATTTTTATGATTTTTTGTAAATATTTTATTGTACTTGATTTTTGCTGCCAATGAATACAATGATAAAGGTTCCTTCTTTTGAATAGGCATGCGCAGGGATGAGACAACACTCCAACCTTCTATATATTTGAACAAGTGCGTTTTTTCTACTTTTCCATCTACTAATTTGATTTTCATTGAAAAAGAAAAAAATTGGATTAAGTTTAACTTTTTCAGATTTCTTGTGGTACCTTATTAAAAATATTTTCAGTATTACATTATAACTGTTGCTAGTATTGAAAATGCACATTTTTGTCCAATATCTTTTGCCTATAATCTTTATTTTGTTGTAGCTAGAATGGTATACGCCTTGCAAGTAAAAATATCAAATAAAAGAAAAGATAGTGTAGGAACACAAAGATATGACTGATTTTTTTTATTTCTCCTTCAATGATTAAGCAAGATACAATTGATCTACTATTTGAGAGATAGATCATCGCTCCCACAAACCCTAGTTGCCGCTAGGAACTCACAACAAACACTAGTAAAATAAACTCAGCAATATTATACCCTAAACCATAGACAAACTCCCCCTTAAATAGTCCTAGAACACAATAACATCAATAGAACCTTCCTAATCAACATAAACATAATTTAGGAAACCTTCCTAAACAATTAAACATGATTTAGAAAATCTTCCTACACAATTAAACATTTCCTAAATGACAAAAACACAAATAGGAAACTTTCCTAAACAATTCCTCCCTTGATTAACAACCTTCCAAAACAACTCCCCCCTTGATTAGGAACATTCCTAAATAATTTTCCTTAGTTAGGGACTTTCCTAAATAATTTTCCTTATAGGAAATTTCCTAAACAACTCTCTTGATTAGGATCATTCCTAAATAGTTCCCCTTTCTTGGATGTGGCCCCTGCCCAACATATCAATACTCCCTTCCCAAAAGTGCACCTTGTCCTCATGATGGAAGGATGGGAATTGACTCCTGATTAGCTCGTAAGGTTCCCATGTGGCTTCGTTCTCCGACAAATCCTTCCACCTGATAAGTACATTCTGAACAATAAACCCATGATGCTGAGAATTAATTAGCAGTTTTTGTCAAGGGAAACAAAATGTACGATGCACTTATGTTAACAAACTTGGTTGGAACAATATCTCTATGGAAGTTGTAAAAGAGCTCTCTAGTATCTCTAGATTGCATAAAAGCCAGGAACTGTCCAGGAGTGGGTAAAACATGTGGGTCTAAATCCATTCTTCCATTGTACGAGCTAAATTCTTGAGAACTGGGATGAATAGATGCAGCTCTTGCTTCAAGATATTTAGGTTGTTTCACATCAAGACTAGGCTGCAGTGACCTTAGGATTGCCATCGTAAGATCGTCACTGTCCTAATAGCTTCTTCCTCTAGTGTAATGGTTGTCATAATCCCTTCATGTTTCTCTCGTGTATCAAGTGTGGGAATTCCACATTTCTTCCCTACGCCTCACATGACCCGATCCCCATGGTTCAGCCCATCCCCCTCCTCGGGTCATCCATTCCCCTTGCCCAAAGGACCTCCTGTAGTGGTCGGCCACTCTATCATCTTCACCATGAAACTCACTTCCCTTGCTCGAAATGCCTCTTATAGTGGTCGGACGCCCTACCACCTCCACACAAAAAATCCCTTTGCTTTCTCCTCATCTGGAAACCCTGATCCGCCTCTTATCGGAGCCCCATGAGGTGGCTCTTGATAAAAGAAACTATCCTTGTCGAACTCCTTCTGTCTTTCCCTTCGATTCGGCCAAGGGAATCCCAATAAAATCTTGGTTAGGGTTATCCATCGGAAACATCGGTGGAGTTTTTTATTGCATCTCCAATAGCTTCCTCTTCATCTCCTCTAGAATTTCCTTTCCCTTTGGTTCAACCCTAGGAATAGCTAGCGAAGCTTTCAATTGCATATGGATCAACTTCCTCATCTTGTATTCCAGATTAGAAAGCCTTCCTTCCATGGATAAAATCCTTCCTTTCATAGATGAAAACCTCTTCTCCATTCCAGGTTTGATTTGCTCCATCTTACTTTCTAACCGCATCTACCCTCTTTTTGTCATAGGTCCCAAAAAAAGTGCTCTGATACCAATTTAATGTCTTGAAAGTAAAAATAGCAAATAAAGAGAAGAATAGCATAGGAACACAAAGATAGGGTTGATTTTTTTTTATTTCTCCTTCAATAATAAAGCAAGATACAATTGATCTACTATTCGAGAGGTAGATCAGCTCTCTCATAAATCCTAGATGCCGTTAGGAACTCACAACAAATACTAGGAAAATAAACTTAACAATATCATACCTAAACTATAAACAAACTCCCTCTTAAATAGCCCTAGAACACAATAACATCAATATAACATTCCTAATCAACATAAACATAATTTAGGAAACATTCATAAACAAGTAAACATGATAGCATAAAAACAATTAGAAAACTTTCCTAGCCCCTTGATTAACCTTCCTAAATAATTTTCCTTAGTTATGAACTTTCCTAAACATCTCTCCCCTTGATTAGGAACATTTCTAAATAATTTTCTTTAATTAAGAAATTTCTTAAACAACTCCCTCTTAATTCAGAACCTTCATAAATAGCTCTCCCTTCCAGGTTGTGCTCCCCAAGCGTATCAAATGCTTGGAAAGTAATCGTTTTTAACCTGATGTGTAGATGTTATATTGGCGACTATGATTGCAAGTTATGGAAATTCTGATGTCTTTTATCATGTTTGGATTCTTTTCCTTTATGTTTCGGTTAAGGTGAAGTGTGAATGTTTTGGTTTCATTTGGATTACAAAATTAACAGTTGGTCTTTGATATAATAATTTTTTGCCCTTGTTCATTGTATTAAGCTTTACTACGGCACTAGTATATTGAGCCCCAACCCCTGGTTCTCAGACCAATAGCCGACCAACGAATGTTACTATAGCCAATGATTACGCCTGGGACAAATTGGACAGTTCAAAGTGTACATATCTATGTTAATCCGTGTCTTGCCTAGCAATGGTGTCTTGAAGCGCTCCTAGATCAATTTGGGAATTTGTGGGAGCAGAGCTGAGAGCAATCTGGAGTGGGATTATGGGTGTGAACTATGTGAAATGCAAATGCTAAGCCTCGCATCCAATAATTAATGAGAATGTGCATCGATATTCTACTGGTTGACCATAGTCATATATGTTCAAGCTTTTTGAGTTAGATACGTGTCTGGGCAAACAAGATTTTGGCTCCAATTCCATCTTCAACCAAGTTTTTTCCTTAAGAGTTTCTTTTTGTTAATTTTATCTCAAAATTTTCTTTTTTCGAGCAATTTGTTAATGAGAATGATAATTCTCTCTTTATGTGCTTATTATAACGAGGTTCAAATTCCTCACGTGTGCCTTCACTGAAAATTTAGGTTTTTTTATTCATTCTGTTATGCGCATCTTGGGCATGCTGTAAGGTGCGGGAAATGGTATGGATATGGGGATCAGGAAATACAATATGATAAGTGGTTGAATGTGTGTACTGATGAATCTAGATCCAATAATTTTCAACTACTTATCCTGTCCATCCTTATTTGTCTTATTTGTTTGATTTTTTTGCCATTATATGTCAATCGTGCATAGGGTGATTGAAATATGTCTGTGTGGCTTGATCATCGTTCGTACATGAGGGATTAGGATTTGGTTTTTTACTAGCTTGTTTTGATTTGTTCTACATTATCTTGTGATCACACTTAAGTTGGTGAAAGAGCTATATGTATGGATGGATGGAAGGTGGAATTGAATGGACTATAAAACTTGGCCATTCAATTGATCAATCTATACGCCACTAAATTGTGATATGCTAATTATCATTTCATCCTAGCTTGTTTTGGACTTGACTAAAATTTTCTTTGGAAAATTTCTTTTAATTATGTGCTTCATTTTATGTTTATTTATCAAATTTCTTTGATAACTGATTATGTTCTTTTCTATATTTATCATGATAGGCATCGATTATGCCTGTTTTTTTAAGTTTTTTAAATACCGGTGTAACCTAAAGTATTGCCAGGTTCGTCAGTTAAACATGAGTACCCGACCTGCAGATTATTTATGTTGGTTTTAGGAATCTTCAAAAATGATTATTCGTCTAAAGATCTGCATTTGGAGTTGATTCAAGTTCACTCAATCATTAGTCACGAAAGTTTTTTCTTAGCAGTCTAAAGCAACTCTTAAGATAATAGTATTTGGTTTGTTTTTCTGAATGCCAGAAATTGAAAAACGTGAAGTTATTCACAGAAAATTCTAAACTTAAAAGATGGAACTTGTGGAAGTGAATGGAACTTGTGGAAACATTTTGCATATTATATAAGATGTATCATAATATTAAGCGGGCTTAGTGAATGGAACTTTTGGAAATATTTTGCATGGTCTTTGGAACTGTGGACTTGAGCAGAAAGCATATTCTATATAAGATGAGTTCAAAATGTAATTTACTCAATCTTGTATCTGTTTGTTGGAAGGCAATTGCGTGAATTTAATTTTGGCCATGCACTCATTAACTGTGAAGAAATGGTTATTTATATCTGCAAAATTAGGTAACATGTTTTTGGTTCATGTCAGCATTCTGATTCTAATTGATTCTGATAAAGCGTACTAGTTCTAACATGTCTTTTGTCATGGAAAATGGATTTAATTATACTTTGCATTTTACTATTACAGCTTGCCAGACAAGTTCCCTGAAGGTTCTCGAGTACTTGTTGTGGATCCCATGCTTGCGACTGGTATTCTGTTTACTTTTTTATCCATATTTCATATTCTTATATTAATTTAGATATATGTAATTTTGTAAAGAAACTATAAGATAATCTATCTAATATAATCTATTATAATTTCTAATAATTAAGATTGGCAATGAAAATTACTATTGTTACAATGAACCCGAAGAAAGAGAGATTCACGGTTCGACCGGTTCAACTCCAAAGGGTTCGACCGGAGTCGAACCGGATGATGTAATAAATAATAATATTATTAAAAATCAATAAAATGCTACGCAAATTTGGTGTTCTTCTATTTTGAAGTTAAATATTACATTAAGAATAATGTATCATCTCGGGAGATTGACACTACATTCTAAAATGCTTTCAATGTCAAAATAGGATTTTAAAAAATATTATTTCTATAATCAAACACAATTCGAAGAATAACATGTCATCTTGAAAGATAAATATGAAATTTTATAGAAAGTGTTTGGAAAGAGAAATGGATGTTAAACATTCAACCATTCCTACAATCAAATGCACCAAAGAAAATATTATATTATCTCGAAAGTTAAATATAATATTCTATAAGGGATCTCAAAGTAATAATGGGTTTTATAAAATTCATAATTTTCTAAATTAAATTTTCTAGGAGAATTTTATATTATCTGGGGTGACGATAACAACATTCTATAACGCTATTTATAAATAGAAATGGGTTTTAAAAAAAATTTACTTTCCCAGTGATTTTTCCCTGCTTTATAGGAATAAAATAGTGTTTATTTGAATATAGAGTTCTTAGTTCCCTATAAGTGTAAGCCCCTATAGTTAATTAGATCATAAGAGGATTGCTCATAGGAAACTCTTGATTAAAACAGTAATTATATTTCCTTTGATTATAAGATTAAAGCAAACAATGGAAATTAAAAAATTTCAAGGAAAAAGTTCAATATTGAGCAGTTCTTAGAGGGTCAAAGGAGAAAGGATAAAAGTAAGAGGTGTTAGATTCTAAGAAGCTCAGACGCAACTCCAATCTATTTTATGTTCGACTTTATAATTTATAAGAGAATTTATTATTCAAGTTGGTATTTTATTAGAAAGGTAGGATTATATTCTCGAATGGTGGGGACTTATAATTTTGGGTCTTCCTCAGAATCTAAAACTACAGTGAACCACTATAGAGTAGCGATTCAAACCTAGTCCAACAATATGCAGACTAATGAAATGGGCCTTATATCTTAAACTCTTTGTAAATTTCAACAAAATTCAAATCCTTAAAAGTCAATGGATTTAAAATCAAAATTCAAGCTCTTTCCATTTCCTTTCCTTTTTCTAGTAATTGACATACATAAAAGCTTTTGATCCCCTGTGGAGCATTTACAAGTTATGAAGATCTTTTGTGATGGAAAGGAGAAAACAAGCTTTCAATCTAAAATTTTCAAAACCATCAATATTCAAAATCTTTTCAATATTTTCCTTTTCTCCTAGAAAATGACATGCACAAAAAATTTTGATCCTCAGCGGAACATTTGCAAGTTTTTAATGTCATTTGTGACGAAGAGAAAAGATCAAAACTTCAAGAAATGAAATATATATTAGGTTTGGGTCACAAAACCTTTTCCTAATCACCATCTCTTTCAAAGTTCTAGCCTAAGTACGCTCTTTCGACAACCATCATGTTTAAATCTGTCTTTAGGACTAAGTCCGCTCTCAAGGCATCTTATAGATTTATGGCCTAAGTCTGCTCTTATGACAGCCATCCTATTTAAATCTGTCTTTAGGATTAAGTTCGCTCTTACGGCATCCTGTAGACTTCTAGTCTAAGTCCGCTCTTACGACAGTCATCTTGTTGAAAACTTTCAAGTTTAGGTGAAATCCTCACATAGGTTTCTCTTTTTTAGGAAGATGCCCTCTAGTTTGTTAAGATGGGTGTAATTATTCACATGGTGGCATCCTTCCTCTTAGACTAGAAAAAAGACTTGAGTCTTATCAAATGGCATTCAAATTCTTACATTCATGTCAAATCACATCCAAATCACTACACTCATCTAGTCTTTACGGACCCTTGACTTTACTAATAGTGCTAACCTCATTAGTTATTGCTTAGTAGAGTCATCATTAACCTCATCAAATCATTCAATCACTCAATTTCAATTTTAAGTTTGATTCAACTATCATAGTTCGTTTTTATTTGACCCCTTTGACCTCTATTTTGTAGTAGAAGATTTAAAAAAGGAGACTGCCAATTAAATTTATCCTAAACAATTTGTCAAATAACTCTTTCTCGTGGCAATTAAAATAAAAATTAAGAGAAAAGGATCAAATTGGTTCTCTCTGTTTTTTTTTTTTATTTTGGAAAAATCAAAATTCGACTTTATAAAAGTATCAATTTGATCTTAACTCTTTAAATAGATATCAAATTAATCATTTAGTAGGATCATTTGGGTCCATATTTAAAAGATCAGGGGACTAAAATGGGACTTTTAATTAGTCGGGGGTCATTTTGATCCTTCGCATAAGAATCAATGGACTATTTTGATCCTTATCTCTAAAAAAATAAATTACCCTAATAAAATAAATTATTCAACTAAACTTCTAAAACATTACAAATAATGCATGTTTGTCTTACATCAGTTGTTCTAGACCTGCCATATCATTATATGAAGATAGGATACTTTTGGTTTACGTGGACATCCATTCAACATTTTAAAGCCAACTGTTTTCAGATAATAAAATGACACATTTTCGTTGTAATTTCACAACTTAATTGAGGCTTAGAATCAATGGCTTTCTTTTCCTTTGTGCCAGGATAATTTGATATAAAATGGATCGCCGGTTTCCTGGATATCATATATGCTTTGTTTAATGGTTTCCAAGCCTCAATTTATGATATTTTTTAGGTGGCAAATATAATATTTTACCCCTGTAGCTCCTGTAAAATATTTCTTGTCAGCGCAGATGGTCATTATAACAGATAAACTCCATTTGTTTACTTTGTACATAATTGAGCTTGTATATAGATAGTCTGATATATAGAAATTTCATAGTAAATAAAAAAGCTATAACATGTTATCACAGCTTTACAACCAGTTAAATTATTGTTGACCTTCTGTTTATGTACAAACTACAAATCATATTTCCACATCAATTTCTCATCCTTCTGGTTTTTCATTTTACAGAACAGAAGAAAAATTATATTTTTCATTTTACACCTTTGTAATCCAAACTCCATCACAGGTGGTACAATAGTGAAAGCAATCGACTTGTTGAAAGATCGCGGGCTAAACAACAAGCAAATAAAAATCGTATGCCCATTCAAATGCTTAATGATTCTTATGTACATTTCATGTTTTCCATTACTTATTTTGACAAGTACTGCTGCAGATATCTGCTATTGCTTCCCCTCCCGCACTTCAGAAGCTCAGTACCAAGTTCCCAGGGTAGTAAGCTATTGTCCAAACTGCCTATGTTATTGTGATATTCATCTTTAGGAAACTGAGGCTTGCTTTAATTTTCAGAATTCATGTTTACACCGGAATGATAGATCCAGTTGTTAATGAGCATGGGTATGTCACTAATTGGCTTCTAATTTTGAGAGATTATTCTGTGCGGACACCGGACGGGAGAACCGTTCAGTGCCGGTTGGTACCGACCGAGCGCGGTATATTTTTGGAGTGACGTGGTGGCGCTTTTTTATTGGTATATGGATAACGTCCGGACTCCGCACAGAATAATTTGTCTCTAATTTGCTACATATAAAGGCTTTCCATTGTAACAAAATTTCCATGTATTATCAGGTTTATAATTCCGGGACTGGGAGATGCTGGTGATCGCTGTTTTGGTACTTAGAAATGCAGGTCAGTTTGTTCATTAATGGCTGTGTTGGGTGTAGTGCAGCATTTTTCTACACTGATTAGGGCGTTTGTGCTATTAGCTAATTTTTTCAAGAACCATATGCCGTGAGAGCGATTTAATTTCTTGGTAACGCCGAATGATTTTGTATGTGAATTATAGGCTTTGATATTGTAGGGACATGTACATGTTTTGGTGATTAACAGCATCATCCAGGGGGCAAATTATTACGTCCGGTGTCCGGATTCGTCCGGACACCAATCCAGACGTGCCACGTCATCAAAATACACCGGGACCCAGTGTATTCAGGTGCGATGGCGCGTCTGGTTTGGATGTTCGGACGTCTGGTCACCGGACGTAATAACTCGCCCATACATGGAGTGCTGTTTAGAAGAAGTTGTAAGCAGGCAAGCGCTTCCATGCTCTAAATTTCACCTCGTTAGATTTTTGAAAATGATCATTTGGGGGCACGGTGCTTGACCTGGCTCTAAAAAGCTGTGGCCTTTTAAAAGAAAAAAATTGGTGAGGAAATCCTGGCGTAAATTCAATTTTAATGAATTTTGTGTTTATAAATTTATTTTAAAATAAGTATTGTATGTGATTGATTATTTATTTCATATTAAATTTTAAAAAATAAATATTATATGTATTCAAGAAATTAAATGAGTTGGAGAAGGTTGATAGTGTATGATTTAAATTATGATATTTAGCTAGTATTTCTACTGGAAATAATATAGATGTAATTATAGATAAGAGTTTCAATAATATTATTGTAGAAAACAATAGAATTGAATATATATATATTTATTTAAATATTATTATTAATGTTAAGATTTGAATATATGTTTAAATTAAAAAAAAATTAATATAATATGCTTTTTTAAAGTTTTTAATGAAGGAGATTTAAATGGACTTGTTAGTAGAGAGGTAAAAGATTTCAAAGATATTTATTATAGCTATGTGTTTGGGGTAACTAATGAAAGTAGTAGGATCATATTAAATTTTTCTAACTTATAATCTTGTAATTGTTAGCATTTTATTTAAGAAAAGATAATAATATCTTAATGCTTATAAAAATGGATATATTAAAATTTACATTTGATTATTTTTTATAAGAAAAATAAATTATTTAAATTGTACTTCTTAAAGAGCTTAAGAAATTAATATATTTTCATTTAATTATTTATATAATAGATTAGATATTAAAGAGGGTGAAAGATATATGTATAAGTAAGCAAAATAGAGATATATGAAAAGTATTTTGATATTTAACAAAGTGTTTGTATTAAAAGAAAATATTCAACAAAAGTAAATCAAATATTTTAATAAATTTTTCAATAAAGATTGTAAGAATACAATTGACTTTAGTGACCCTAATATTTTATTTTTATCAACATATTAATAAAACATAAATTAGAAAAGCTTTAAAGAAAATGAAGTATGAAAAAAGCTATTTAACCTGATAATATTCCAACAGAGAAGCGGAAATGTTTTGAAGATTGAAAAAAAAAATGGCCTATTAAAGTTTTCAACGTTAGTTTGAAGAAAAAAAGATGCCATATGAGTGGAGGAAAATGTGTTGATTCTTATTTTTAAGAATAAAGGTGATACAAAAAGCATACTAAGTATAGAAGAACTAAGTAAATGTGTCTTACTTTAAAACTATAGGAGAGTTTTTTAGCCAATATTAAAGACTAGATACTAATATTTCTCAAAATCAATTTTAAGATACGGCAAAATGCTATAAATTTAATAAGATGTTTGATGGAGAAATGTTTTGTAGAGTTTTAGAAAAGAAAGTTGTATTCAAGTCTTCAAGGATATATATATATGTGTGTGCGCGCGCGCGCGCAGGTGTTCCTTGTGTTTAAACATAAAATGATTTGACCAAGTATTTTACTATTTCAATTGAATTACATGAAGGATCAGCTTTTAAGCTCATTGTCTTTAGAAATTTCGATTAGTGGCCTCTTATGTGTTTAGAATTGCGCTTTTTTTTTTTGGGACATTTAGGTCATTTAAGGCAAACTCAACACACAACACATACACAGAAACTCAAACCCAAGACCTTTTAGATGGAAGCATAAGCTCTCAACCAACATGCCAAGGTGAGCTATTTTTTGGGACATTTAGGCCATTTAAGGCAAACTCAACACAACACATACACAGAGACTCGAACCCAATACCTCTTAGATAGAAGCATAAGCTCTCAACCAACAGGCCAAGATGAGCTATGTAGAATTGCGCTTTAACATGACATTTTCAAATCACTGGATAGGGGCATCATAAATCAGTTGTCAAATAATCATTGTAAGGCTGCTGTTGGTTTGGAGATCAAAGCAAGCCAATTATCTCTACCTTTGAATACATCAGATGCATTCCTAAGCTGCAATTGCTAACGATTTTAACAAACCTTCTTTGCATTATATTATATTACATCTCCAATTTTACACGAGTAAGATATTGTCTAATAATTCTTTTTATATTAATGAAATTACTTAACTGGGCAGAAAATAAAATTTATTTTTTTCGTTAACAGAAAAAAATTAAATTCTCTATTCCATTTAATCTTGAATACCCATTTTCTACCTAAAAATTAATGCTACAATGTTCAAAATGAAGGATATGTACCTTAGTATTCTGCCCTTCAAAATATGTTCTGTTAGTCCATCTCTGCCCTGCCCTGCCCTGCGAGCGTTTTAATTCTCCAAGCCATCTTTATATATACAAGCTAGTAACAATTCACAATAAAATTGTAAGGCAAAATTATCACCTGTCAATACGGAACCATCTTCATATTTCAAGTTATTCCCTAAGCCATCTTGGCTACAAAAAGTGAGAATATTGGCATTACATAAATTGGACAGGATAAATGACAAGTAATTCTGAATGCAGGTTTAGCCCTTAATAGTTTAAGCCATCAATGGCACAAAGTTGTGATTTAGCCGCCCGAAAGGATCGATGATTCTATAAGAACAGCAAACCAACCACTTCAACGATATTCGCTACCATCTATCTAAAAATCCTGCAATAAAAATAAAAGAAAAAGAATTTTAAAGGCATGATTGTTCTTGAAACTAACAAAATGTATATCAATTAATTAGGGATGTCAATATTTGACAATACATGAAAACCTGACCCGAACCCGACCCTGAAATTTCAGGTTAGACCCAACCCGTTTCCAAAATGGGTCAAGTTCTTGTTCCCGGATTCAACCCATTTGAAAAAAGGGTTGGGTTCGGGTTGACCCAACGGGTTGCCGGGTCAACCCGGAAACCCGTTTGAAATGATTGTATGGTTGCCCGCATACCTGCTCGAGCCTACCTGTGGCTGCCCGCGCCCTGCCCGTGCGCCCGCCGAAGCTGCCCGCGCCTACCAGCAGTCGGCCACGCACTCGAGGCTGCCCGCCGACTACGCCAGCCTACTCACGTCTGCACCCGCGTCCTCCCACAGCCTGCGCCCACCCGTAACCCACCTTCCCGTGTCAGGTCGGGTCAACCCGGCAACGCGCCAGGTCGGGTTCGGGTTCGAATTTCTGACCCGTTTACATACCCGGGTCAGGTTAGTGTCGACCAGTTTGAATACGGGTCAGTTCCAGGTTCGACCTGAACCCGACCCAAAATCCGACACCCCTACAACTAATCACCATTTGTATAGGCCAAGGTGCCTCTAACGTCATGGATAAATGACAATACAATGACAGGTAAACTCAACTAAAAGATGGAAATATTCCAATGTAACCGTAGACATTTTGAATCTACGAAAGATAAACTAATTGGTGGTTACAAGTTAAGGGAATTCTTGCAAGCATGCAAAGACAAAAATCAATCAAGCAAGAAACTCTGTAATGGGAAGTTGCAGCAGAGGCTAGAGACTTACATCAGTGATAAAGTTACAACTCACTGTAATTGCGCCAGACTTCACGAAATTCCTCACGAAATGTATTCAAACGTGCTTTCAAATTCGGAGTTCTGAAACTGGCATGGAGTATTGTAGCTAAAATTCATCCAGAAGTTAAAAAATGTTAGAATGTGACGCCATGAAAGCAGGACAAAAGAATTTGAATCATTTTTACCTAGAAGACCAATAGCAAGTGCCCAGAGTACTGTAAGAAGGTTGCAAGAAGTGAACCACAAGACGCAACTAGCTGAAAATACGATCACCCAACACTTAAGCGTTTAAAAGAATTATTCTTATTATGCTAAAAGTTGGATCAAGCTTACCTGCAGAAAATATCAAGACAAATATCCAACGAGGGTGGCCACATATATGAATGGCTCTTTTTGTGGATGGTCGCCCTCGAATAACAGGTCTGCAAGAAAATTGTCCAAAATAAGCCTCAGTTCATAACATCACCTGACGAATGCAAATTAAGGCTTCGTTTGGGATGGCTTTCTTATTGCTTCTTAAAGCAGCTTTTTAATATAAAAATTAAAAATTTTGTACTAAAAAGCTGCTTTAAAAAGCAATAATAAAGTCCCAAATGAAGCCTAAAACAGTATGTGTTTAAGCACACTCACGCTATTGGTGGCCTCATTTTTGCAGCCAGTTGAGGAGAGAATTGTCTCACAGTCCTGGTTACTTTTTCATTAAAAGTAATTGCAAAGCTGTAATTGTAAGCATTATTAGAGAGATTACAGTGACTCAACATTGAAAAGATCATTAGCAAGCTGTGTCAAAAAGCCTACAACAGCCATGAACATTGAATCTCATATGAAAATGTCGACTTAAGAAACCTAAACCTTCTGAGAGGCTTCAGTAATGATATCCATGTATCTCCATATAGAGTATAGTATACAGAAAAAAGCAAGATATGAACTCAACAGAATGCAACTTTAGGGTCATTAGAAGTTTAAGGTCAGGTATAAATCACGTAGCAATATCATGATATTACTCAAGCAAACCACATCTTTCAAGCAGCATTGACTAAACAAAAAACTCTTAACTCGAGCTGTATATACTATTTTCCCAGTTAGTGATTTATAGGTAACCAAAAAGTCCAACGGTAACATTCTTTAACTAAATATCGACTAGCTCCCTGTATGGAATTTGATGTGCAGCTGACCTTAAGCCCTTCTTATTAGTAGCTCGTTTCATGCATTTATTTGTGACTAACCTTGTACCTTACTTTCAATTAATAAAATATTTTAGATATTTAAAAAAATAAGTATTATGAAATTAAAATTAAAAAAACAAAAACTCTGCTAACTGGCCAATTGCAAAGAAAAACAGCTAAAGCAATTTTTTAAAAATATAATAGAAATAGAGAACAATAGAAATAAAGGTAACAATGGTTGATGTCATGTTAGGAGCTATTTGATTTGTTGCATTACTGGTATAATGTAAATCAAACAAGTGTTTTGAAAATTCTAGCCACCTGGCATCATCGCCCCTATCAATTGTCATCGCTGTCGTAGATCGTCCTCATCACCATGGCTCGCCACTACTAGAACTACTATTGATAGTCCCTGCCAGCCTATGCCAACTATAGCCAACGCCGGCTGCTTTCGTCCGCCATCACAAGCCATATAGGCCACGCTTTATATCGAATTTATTTTACTTCAACTTAAATTAACCACCCCCCACAACTTTTTTCACCCAACCAAATAATTCTATTTCTTTTAGACTAAATTTATTTTAAACTAATTTTTTTTTTATTTGAATTCCTTTTTCAGTAACCCAAACAACCCTTTATTAAAATAGAGAACATCTCATTGAGAATTGTCTTTATCAATAGAAAGTACAATTACTAGACTTGGTAAATGGAGGACCTATAAATTAAAGAATGCGACGGGTGGTTTTAAAAATACACAAACATGCAAGTAGCTTCAATGCAGGCACAATAAGTGACCCAAATCATTTTTCAAGCCTACTTTTAACGTCCCCACACCAAACTGTTACCAATATAAACTTCAAAAAATTTCAACACAAACTTGGAAAAAACTTTTAAAAAGAAAAAGAACATGGACAAGAAGAAACCAAGTAACTCAGACAAATCCTCTTTGATGGTAAACTCAAATCAATTAATCAAATATTGATTAATCTATAATTTCCAAATCATTACAACAATTTTTGCTAATATTGGTACATCAGGATCATGATCCACAGATCTTAAGTTCGAGAAATAAAAGTTTGAAAAATATGTAAGATGGCTAAGAAAAAAGAAATACAAATAAACTAAATTAAAAATCAATATAAAAAAAAACTAATGACATAAAATAAGATGTAAGCAAATGAGATAACTTTAAATAAGGAATAGCCATTCAAACATTGAACTATTGAAGCCCATAGTTGCATAATATATATTTCTTTTTTCAATTTCACAAAAAAGGGTATTTTATATGTGATTTGCCTTGGAATGGTACCCAAAAGTTGCTCATTCCAAAAATGATTTTGGAGCTAAAACCATGCAAATGTTTGAAATCCTATTAACCAAATGACATGAAACATATACTTGTATATTCATCTATGGATCAAGCAAAATATGTAATTTTATGAATAATTCTAGGAAACTCAAATCCTAAACTTGCATCATCCTACATAGAAGAGGAATTAACTTCATATAAGCACACTATTTCTCTACCATGTTCGCTCAAACAAGTTTATTACTGTTATGTTTGTATTGTTCAATCCTAGCAGTCTCTTGGCATTTTGATCCTATGGCCAGAATTGGAATCCGTGAGAGGCTCACCAATTAAATCCTAGTCATCACTTGGCATCTTGATCCCTGGCTAAGATGGGAATACATGGGAGGCTCGCCTGGATCATGATGATCTCCTTTCATATTTAGATGGTTGATTTAGGAAGGATTATATTATAGAGATTATGCATTATTATGTAATTATTTGTTTCTTTATTAAGATATTTTATATAGATTTATAAATAGGGATAAGTTTGTGTAATAAAATTAAGTATTTTCCCTCTCCAATTCTCTAAATTTAACATGGTATCAGAGCCTTCATTGTCGTTGCTGGAATTCTCGATTTTTTGTACTGTCGTGCCTTCATTATCGGCTTTCCCTTGTTGTTGTTATCCTATCTATAGCCAAAGAATCTTTCATTGTTGCCCTGCTAGATATAGCCTTTATCACTGTCCTTGCCACCGCAATGTCTGAAGCAAATTCCTCCTAAAGCTTTGACCAAATGGAGGACTCTATGGTGCACCAAGGAAAAGGAGATTTCCAAAATATGCAACCTTATCGCTTAAATGGGAAGAATTATTTGAAGTGGTCTCAATTTGTGAAGACCTATTTGAAAGGAAAAGGAAAGATGAATCACTTCCTTGGGGTAGGACCAAAAGAATAAGATCATAATTTTTGGGCATGAGATGAAGCAGACTCCATGATCATGTCATAGTTGTGAAATATCATGATTCCAGAAATTAGCGATAATTTTATGTTCCTATCTATTGCAAAAGACATATGAGATGCTGCCAGACAAACCTTTTCAAAAGCTCGAGATGCTACACAAATCTACGAAATTAAAGTCAAGGTGGAAAGGACAGAACAAGGAAGCAAGATAGTGATTGAATATGCCACTCTCCTTCAAAACTTGTGGCAAGAACTTGATCATTACAGATGCATAGAGACCAAATATCCCGAAGATGCGGCTATCCTAAAAAGCTTTATTGAGAAAGATATAAGTGTATGATTTTCTAGCATGATTAAATACAAAGTTTGACCAAGTTAGAGTCCAAATCCTTGGCAAAGAGGAAACACACTCACTGAATGAAACCATTCCTCTCATTCCTACAGAGGAAAGCCAATCAGGCGCAACACTGGAACCAAAAATTGCTGAAGATTCAACAAAGGTGATAGCCAAAGAGGCATCATGGAAGGAAAAAAGTAAGGATTTCTCAAAACCTCAAGGCAAAGACTCTGTTTGATGCAGCTATTGCAAAAAATCAAGACATACAAAGGAGACATGCTGGAACTTATATAGAAAGCCACCAAGTAATGAGTAGAATCAAAGAAGTAGACATAAGGGATCATCACAAGCTAACACTACAACAAGTCAGCCCAACCCAAAAACTCAATTTAGTTTAAGAGAGCTCAACAAAGAAGATATTGATAAGCTAAAACAACTCCTTGTATCACTTGAAAAACCACATGTATCTTCTTCTCTTGCACTTTTAGGTAAATTTCATACATACATTGGATAAGTGCCTCTAAAAATCTTTTGAAAGGAGAATGGATTATTGACTCAGGAGCCACATATCACATGACACACACAACTACCCACTTCATCAACTACACTCCTTGCCCGAGTGATAAGAAAATCATCATTGTTGGTGGTTTTCTTATCACAGTAGCAGGCTAAGGAAACATACCCTTATCTCCCTCTCTCGCTTTAAAAGATGTGCTCCACATACCTCAATTATCCAAAACTTAATCTCTACACAAAAACTTACCAGTGATCATAATTGTCAAGTCCTATTTTATACACGTACATGCTCATTTTGTATCTTGCCTCTAAGCATAAAGTCACTCATCCACATGAGCATCCTCATCTCTGCAACACTTAACTTAATAGTATACTTCTCTTTTAATAGCCAACATTCTGCACCATAAAGCATTGCAGGTCTAACCACCATCTTAAAGAATTGTCCCTTGAGTTTGAGGGGGGACTTTTATATCACACAAGTCCGATGCATTCCTCCACTTCAACCATCCAACTTGAATTCTACTAATAATATCCCCATCTATTTCACCATCATTCTGAACAATTGGCCCAATATATGTAAAACATGTACTCTTATTATTAACTTAATCACCCAATGTCACAATCCCCCCATTAGAACTACGATTACTAAAATTACACTCCATATATTCAGTTTTAGATCTACTCAAACGAAAGCTTTTGGACTATAAGGTTGACCTCCATAATTCAAGTTTACCTTCAACTCCCTCTCAAGTCTTATCAACAAGAAGAATATTATTAGCACAAAGCATACACCAGGATACAACTTCTTGCAAATGTCTAGTGAGAACATCCATGACTAAATAAAAGAAATACGGGCTAAAGGCTGATCCTTGCTGTAATCCAACTGAAATAGGAAAATACTTGATCAAACCACTTTATATCTAACACAAGTAATAGCTCTTGCATACATATCCTTACTGACTTGAAAATAAGCATTATTAACCCCTTTCTTTTCTAGAAGTTCCCCTACCATTTTTCTTGGAACTTTATCATATGCTTTCTCTAAATCAATAAATATCATATGTAGATCCTCCTTATTCTCTCTACACTTCTCCATTAAAGCTCTCAATAAATGTATAGCTTCCATAGTAGACCTACCCAGCATGAAACCAAATTGATGTTGAGAAATGTTAGTAAAGCACTATAACATATGCTCCATAACTCTCACTCATAGTTTTAAAGTATGACACATTAACTTGATTCCTCTATAATTTGCACAATCTTGTGAATCACCTTTATTCTTAAAAATATAAATGAGTACACTCATTCTCCACTCATCTAGCATCTTTTTAGTCTTCAAAAAAATATTAAAAGTTGAGTAAGCCAAGAAATTCCTTCATCTCCTAAGCATTTCCAGGTCTCTATTGGAATATCATCAGGTGCAACAGTTTTTCCACACTTCATTTTCTTTAAAGCCTCTCTAAATTTGATTTTACTAATATGTCGATAAAAACAAAAATCTTTATTTTTATTTAAGGTGTTACGGTCACTAAAGTCAATCGCATTCTCATAATCTTCATTGAAGAGTTTATAAAAATATCTCATCCACATTTGTTGAATATCCTCTTCTAATAAAAGAACTTTTTGATCTTCATCCTTAATACACTTCACTTGAACTAAATCCTTACTACTCTTATCTCTTTGTTTTGCTAACTTATACATATATCTTTCGCCCTCGTTAATATCTTATATATTATATAAATCATTAAAAGTTGAAATCTTTGAATCGCACATTACCTTCTTAGACTCCTTACGGGCCTTTTTATATCTTTTCAAATTAGCAGAATTTTTACATCTAGACAATTTTGGCATGTTCCTTGGATATAAATTCTAATCCTTGAACTTGTGTTCTGGCTTCTTGTAGTAATAACAGTGTGATCAAGTGTTTTCTTTCTCTATAACTTAGCACTCATTCTTCTACCTCTTTAGAGTTACAAGTTGGTCTTTCTTTACAAGTTCTTAATAGTTGTTGTTCCACCTCAAAAACATCAACAACAACAAAAAAGCTTCAACTTTCTGTGAAGGTTCTCATGAAGTCTTACTACATATTTCAGGAATATAAATCTTACATTCAATAAAACTTTTAAAAATAGTTTTCTGCCTTCTAAATTTCTTTATATATTATTGCACATTTTTCCAATTATCCTACTTTCAAATTCTGCCATTGAATCCACTTTTCTTATTCATATAAAATCGCATAGAGTTGAGCTTCTAGCAAAATTTTAAACTCTAAAATATCCAGGCTAACAGATCAAAAAATTTTCTTGTGAATTCCACCAAACTAAAGCATGTAAAGGCAACTTCAAACAATCAAATGCATTTTTTCCCTATCAAGATATTTTTTAATCATGAAGCATGTTTTTAGAAGCTTAAACAAATTGCTTATTACCTTACCATTGTTCTGTGGCGGAGAGCCCATGGATAGTTGGAGGAAATTGTTGGAAGCAGAAATTAAGAATGAATTCATCCAATATTTATTCAAATTACAACTTGATCTTTATTTATAGAGATCAAAGAAATATCTACCAACTCCATTCAAATTTAAAAGAAAGAAAGAAAAAAACAAATTAGTCCTCTGATTATTTCTGTGGCCAATTTAATCCAAGTTAAAATTTTCAAATAAAGTCCCACGATTACACAAAATTGATCCCAAAATGATCTCTCGGGTGCTAAATTGAGAATAATTTTGTATGGTTGAGGGACTACAATGGGATCAAATTTGTATCCCAATTTTAGTCAGTTTTCATATGAGGGACCATTTGAAAACAATTTAGTATAATCAATTCAATTGGAGAAATATAATACTCTGAGGCAAAGTTAGCCCCATATAAATAATCAGAGGACTAGTTTGATTTCTTCTCTTAAAAGAAACTTGAGCATAAGAACTACGCACTAAAAATAACTAATCTTGCTTAGATTCTCTCCTTGGAAGGGGGTTGACCTTTAAGATATAAAAGAGATAGAGAATTTAATGGAGATATTTTAGGTTGATTTGTTTCATTTTCTCCAATTAATTTTCTCCTCTCGAAGAAACCCATTCTAATTCGAAATTTAAAATTGCAATTTTACAATTAAGTACCCACTCATTAAAATAAACATTGGTGACAACGGGATGTCACATCAACTAAGTGAACATATATCAAATTCTTGTATTTTTGTGTTGATCTTAATATCTATTTTCTAATCATTTTCACTCTCTATATTTGAATTAGGTTTTGCATATTCCCCAAAAATATGGAATATGAAACCCTTCAAACACGTATCTATCCATAAGATTCAACATTCTTGGACCTATGATCATCCGAAATACAATAGAACGGGAGAGAGAAATGTGGGCAAAAGGGAAAAGTACATGGCTAAAGTAAAATGAGTGAGGGTTATAAAACAAATTATTTATCTTCATACAATCCCTACGGGAAAGTCAGCTAGAATTAATATGAATTGAAACCTGCCATTGAGTTAAACACACCTAGCTTGTCCTGTTTTGGGTGAATCTCATTTATGGGTCACCCATGTTTTAGAAGCCAAAAAATGATCATATATCTGTTTTACTATATTTTTAGTAAACATAGCCATAATGATGCTTCTTACATTGCAAAATTATTTTTCAAGCAAATAATTATATTATATGATTAACATCCAGTATAGTTTTTGATAGAGATGTTAAGGTTGTTACATACATTTGGAAATAGTATGGAAATTATTTAGAACTAAATTGAAATTACTTGGAACAAACGACTAGACAGTAGCAGTAAATAGAACCTTGGAAACTTGCTATGATATTTAGCATGGAATAACACTGAATATTGTGATATTTATTTTACCTACAATTTCAGCCACCGCATCAATCTGCTTTTTACAAAATAAACTTGATGGCTAAATTTATCTTTCTGAAATTGTTCGGATATTTATTGGGTGGACACCATTTAAGCATTTGACGGCACTTAACTTCTTTTTTTTTTTTTGGGACAGGGAGTATCAGCCTTCGGCCACTAATCTCCCCGATCGACCTAGCGGACAACCCACCCCATACTCATCCGGGCCAACACTTAAGGCTTTGCATGAATTGTCATGGGATTCGAACTCGGGACCTGGCCTATGGCCAGCCAGCTCTTCACCACCAAGATAACCCGTGGTGGGTACGGCACTTAACTTCAATATGAACATAAAAACATTAGTCCAAACAGTACTGAGGTAATGATGGGAAATTTCAAGTTAGAGCGGCCATTCATGGAAACCTGATAAAAGCACATGTCAGTCAACTAAAGGGCTTATTAAGATATTTGAAATGTTAGAGGATAGCTAGAATAACATTACTTCAGTTACCGAAAAAATAAGGGAATAAGGTGTTTACCATTAGCAATTTTTCACTAGATACTTCGTCTTAAGAATAAACCAGACAAAATTTTTAGGCATAAAGCAGAAATACAAACCTATCATTCAAGAACGCAATACTCAAGGCGGTCAAAGCAGCAGCAATAATAGCAAGTGGCTTCCGGATAAATCCAATCCCTGATAAGGATACATAGCGCAGATCGGATCATCGGTACATCAACCAAAATCAAACAATCAATTCTAGTATACCTACGACAAAAGTATCATATTACCAAGAAGGAAGACGATCAATATGAAATAATTCGTCCTGTAGCTGAAACCAAAAAACAAAAAAATAGTGAATAGCCCTAAAACCACATAACTCATATCAAAACCCAAAAAAAAAAATCTAAAAACCAATTATCGGGAATAAACTCACTAGTAGAGGTTGCACTTCAACCGGCTGTCCCACTTGGCGGAGGATCTGGGGACGGTGAATCTCGAGAAAAATTCGGTGAGAGGACGCGGAGGAGCAGACCAATCAACCTCTCGAAGGGCATCAATTAGATCATCCGTCGACACTTTCCCCCAATCCATCGTTCCCACCTCTGTTGAAGACGATTTTGAAAGCCTCTGTTAGGTCAGAAATCGAGCCGAACTTTGATTATCGATAAGAGCTTCGTTCTCTATTTGCATTTGGCATCGCGGTGCACTCCACGCATCGGCTTCAATTTATTTACCATTTTGCCCCCGCAAAAAAAAAAACTTTTATCAAAATGTCTGAGCCCGGGTTCGAACCGGGGACCTCTAGTGTGTGAGACTAGCGTGAAAACCGACTACACCACCCAGACTAATGTAATAACTTCCTAAATAATAATTATCTAAATATTTAATATAAGTTTAGAGAGGTGATTATTTGTATTCATTTACTTCTAGAAATTCAATGGCCTTCTTATCTATTCCATTAATATTTCATTATTTTATCATAATTATATTAATTATTTTATTATAATTGTAAATGAAAATAATATTCTAAAATCTAACTTATGCTATCATCTTATTATTTTGTATAAAAAATAAGTTGGATGTGGCTATCAACCCCTCACTAATGAGAAAAATTATTTTGTGCGGAGGCGGAGACCAACTAGAATGTGTCATATTAGCGGTACCGAGCAGTATGGAGTTCCGGTACCAAGCAAAGGGGTGACGTGGCGCATTCTGATTGGTCTTCGAACGGGCGTTCGCACAAAATAATTAATCCACTAATTAAGCCTAATTTTCACTTCCCTCAAATAAATGCTGAATTTTAGCTCTTAAACTCGATGCTAATCACTTGCAAGCACTAACTTCAAACAAACTCCTCTAAAAGAATAATACTAACAATTGTCCTAGGTATAAGTTCACCAATAATCCATGCATGAACATGAGCCATTTCTAAAATGATGGAAACGATTCACATCTCTCACAAGAATCCCTCTATCCGTATACTCTGAAATAAACTTTGTCAAGGAATGACAATCCTCGCACAGCCTTAGATTCTTTGTGATCCTAATAACCTCCCCTTCATCGCTACTGCTGATAAGTCCAAATGCCAGAGCCAGCTTCTCACTGTGACCCAAAACAATCTTCTCCTTTTCCTCCTGTTCAAGACTATACAAAACAACTTTGGTGTTTGGAATATAACACATCTCCTTCGCCTCCTTTACTAACTAGGTCAACAAGGCATGAGCCTGCTCAATCTGTGGATTTAATTCATCAACAGAAACAAATGAATAAAGCTTCTTCTTAACCTCAATGCAACTACAACCTTGCAACTTCTGCAACCCTCTTTCTTCTAAAAGCTTCTTTACTATGTTAACTTCCTCGCACAGCTTAGCTTCAACATATATATTTGTTAGGTGTATGTAGTTGTCGGCATTCTAGGGCTCAAGTTCAAAGAGATGTGAACATGCTTTCTCTGCAAATTCTATGTTTCTATGTATTCGACAAGCTCCAAGAAGGGAGCCCCATACAGTTGGTGTGATGCCCCAAGATCTAACTTGGAAAGAATGTCAA